GGACCGGGACCGGCAACGGGATCGCAACCCTCGTTGTTGCACCCGCACCTCGCTCAGCCAGTGAGCGGCCGGTCTGTATGTGGGATCCGAACCCTCGGCGGGAGGGCCGCTGAGCTTCCCAAGCCGCGCACTGTAGCAGTGCACCACCGGGCCGGCCCTAAACAAGTACTTTTAATTATGCTTCTTCCCTGTGAATTTAAAAGACACTCTGGGGCTGGCTGGTTAGCTCATTTGGTTAGAGCATGGTGCTATAACACCAAGGTCAAGTGTTCGGATCCCCACACTGGCCAGCCACCAAAAAAATAATGATAATGAATGAACAAATAAATAAATAAATAAATACAAGACACTCTTCCCTAAAAACAAAATACCCACTAGAAAGGGGACTACAAGGAGACGATAGCAATACCACTTCGGCAACTGAAAAGCAGAGGAAAATGTAATAACTGAGTAGATCCAAGAAAATTGAATCCTCACCTGGCAGTGGGCAAAGCTGAGAAACAGCCCAATTCACACCACTAAATCCTCAAAATGCTCAGGACCTGGCAGCACAGGAAACCTCTGACCTGGGAGTGAAGGCAGCTAGGCTAAAATAAGAATTGGGAGAAATCTGTGCCCCCACGAATGACTACCCAGATTCCCCTACATGGAGGTGGCAAGCTGACAAGTCCCTCCCCTCTGTGTGCTCAGAGCATTTGGTTAGATTTTTGGTCTTCCATTGTTAAATGTTAGAAAACTGGACTACCAGACAGCTGAGGAAAGCCTCTAACAGGAACAACAAAGACCAAAATGGACAGGGGGAGGGGGATTTAGAAAACAAAGGTGAGACACGAAGAAGAAAACTTAAAAAAACCCAACTATCGTTAATAGCTTCAGAGAGGTAACACATTGCAGCCATGAAACAAAGAAATAAAATAATCTGAAGTCAGAGATGTTGTTCTGTTTATCTTTTTAAATTCTGTACTATGAAAACTTATCACCTAGTCAAAGAAATAAAATATAAATACAATTATCAACAAAAAATAAATTCCCACTCCAAAGAAAAGTAACATTTTGGGAAATGGCAGCACGCCATTTAAAATAGGTAAAATACCTATTTTAACTTCAACGGTAGATGTGTCTTGAGAAAAACTGTATAGACAGATATTAGTTGCAATTATAAATTCAAAAAATAATTTGAGGTTTTTTTTTACGAGTCAACACATATTCACTGCAGAAGATTTAGACAATAGAAATAGGCAGGAAAAAATGTTTTAAGGTCACCAACACTCCCCCCACTGAAAAAAAAAATTACTGTTAACATTTGGTACATAACCATCCAGTCTTTTGTCTTTGAATATGTATAAATGAACAGTTTTAAAAACAAATATGGAATTGTACTTCCAAATGTGTATGTTTTAAATAACTATTTGCTTTTGGGGTGTCTTCCAAAGCAAAATGTAATCCTTTTTCCATATATTTAGTAGGCTCCACTAAAAGAAGGCAGTCCAACAGAGAATGGGTATACACAAGATATAGCCTAAGGAGATCCAATGGGGAAGAGAACCCCAAGAGTAAGCTGAAGGCAGGTGCCAGGATGACTGCTATATACCAGAACTAGAGGGCAACCTGTTCAGATTGGGGCAGGGTTAAAAACTTGTGCCTAAGGACAAGCAGGGCTTCTAATCACACCCCTCCTTTCCCCCAGAGTGAACAGGTGGGCATAAGGAAGGCCAACAGACCCACCACTTTAGCTCCACAATGAGGAGTATGGCTAGGACTGAGTGTTGGGTAATAAAGAACGGCTTCCCAGCAAGAGTGATTACACTACACCTGGTATCTCTCTTAAGCAATATTACGGCAAGAGCCTTCTGATCCAGGGTAACTGCAATGTAAAGAAAACACAAATCTGCTTGAATAAGAGGAATTCCTTATTTATGCATAGTGCAAAGAATATCTGTGGATATTCCATTTTAGTGGTTCCCATTGTCTACAGAGTAAAGCTCTGACCTCTCAGTCTAGCACCAAAGTCCCCTCCACCTGAACCTACCTTCCCAACCTCAGCTCTCTGTATTGCCCCACCAGGAATCTCTCCTCCAGCCAGATTCGTCTCACTGCAATGACTCAACCTATCTCACACCTTTCCTCTCTCTCTCCACATCCAATCTTTAGAGCCCCTGAGGAAAGGTGGGTCGCCTTTTCCTCCCACCTACTTAGTGTCTACCCACCCATCAGGTTCCCATTCACATTCCACCTCTTCAGTGAGGGATTTCCTAAGCACCTAACCCAAGCATTTGTCCTACACCTAATAGCAAGGAAGGCTTTACGTGCCTCCTAGAGCCTGACAGTCAGGAAATCTGTGCTGATTGGCTTATTCTGTAATGCCCCTTACCACCGCCACCCTTCTCCCCACCACCACATATACAGGAAGTACTTAATAGGCACTTAATTCATGTTTTCATTCAACATACTCCCTACTCCCCTGCCAGGTGGCAACAGGCAACCACTGATAATTACTGATTCTTGACTTTGAAGCCAACCTGAAATGGCTGACTTACCATGCAGGCCTGCTATGGCGGGGGGTGGGGGTGGGGAAGACCTTCTAAAATGACTCCCAAAGATGCCCCACCCTAGTACCTGGGACCTGTGGATCTGATAAGAAATTGTTCTCATGATTATGTTATGTTATATGGCATGGTTGACCTTAAAATAGGGAGATCATCTTGAATTGTGAAGTCCACTGTAATCACATAAACCTCTTAAAAAAGCAGAGTTTTTTTTTTTCTGTCTGGGGGCAGAAAGGAAGTCAGAGAAATTTGAGGCGTGAGGGGGATTCAGTGTGCTCTTGCTGGCCTGAGGATGGAGGGGACATAAGGAAAGGAAAGCAACCTCAAAGAACCAACAGATCTGACAGCCAGCTAAGAAATGAGGACCTCAATCCTACAACTGCCAGGAACCAAATTCAGCAAACAACCTGAATGAATTTGGAAGTGGATTCTTCCCCAGAATTTCCAAATAAGAGCCTCATCTTGCCATAACCTTGATTTTGGCCTTGTGAGTCCTAAGCAGAGATCCCAGATGAGCTACACTGGACTCCTGACCTACAAAACTGCGAGGTAATTAATGGGGGTTGTTTTAAGTTGGTATGATTTGTTATGCAGCAATAGCTGACTTGGAACGACTGCAGAGATGCTGCTTTGGTTGGGACACCCATTGCCCATTCATCTCTTTTTACTTGCATTAGTAAATTGCCACCATTTCTGCCACAGTTGATCCTGGCACACCCAGATACCTGGGAGGGTCATCACTGGGCATTGCCACCAGCCTACTGAGGGGTAGACCACTGAATTCTTGGGGAGTGATGCCCTTTCAAAGCTTTACACTCAGGTATAGGAGAGATAAGATAGATGTCAGTGTTGGCCGAGGACTTAGATTTTCTAGGGACTGGGAGAAAGATATACAAGGGCACTTCAAAAAGTTTGTGGAACATAGAATTAAAAGATAATATGAATCTTTCTATGAACTTTTTGAAAAGTACCCTCATAAGGAGTGAAGGAATCAAAGGTGCTCATCTGCACTAGTCAAGAAAGAGGACCTAAGAGAGGCTGATAGATTTGGAAAATGTAAGGACCCAGATGCTGGAGGACCAGGACAAAGAAGCACAGGAGGGTGTAGGTGATCATGTGGAAGGTGGAAAGATAGGAAAATGAAGTCAGAGAGTGAAAAAGGATTTGCAGGAAGGAACGTTTTCTAGGAAACACATGGAAGTCTAATATGCTCAATGATAGCTCTTTCAGGAATCCCACTCACTTGGCACGACAGGGCCCCCACTTAGGGCCTCACCTAAAACAATCCAAGTTCCCAGTGCTCACCTGAGTCCCCCTTCTTGTGTCCCACTGTTATTAACTCCAGGTCCTTTTCCTTTTCATCCCTCCCTCGGGCCCTCTCCCCTTTGCCAGCAACTCTAGCTGTGTGGGACTGTCACTTGTGGGGTGCCGGAGGAATATGAGGGAGGGGCACTAAGCACTGGAGCATGGGCGACATCTAGCCTGGCCCCCACCCTCTCCACCCCATCCTGGAAATGGAGCCTGAGACAAGGACTTGGTCCAGTAAAGTGATTCCATAGAGTGGGGCTGTGGGACTTGGGAGAGGGAAGCAGGGAGGAGGAAAAATGGATACAAGGGGATCCATTTAAAGATCACTGCTGTGGGCACTGGGGGCTCGATTCGGCTTCTGAGAGTCATACAGAATGCCCCCCACAATAGGCTGTGTGAAGAATGGGAGGCTGGCGCATTTATCTGCATCAGCGCTCATCTCCAGTAGCTGAGGGGCGCCCCCCAGAGGCATTAACTGCATTCTATCCCGTAATAACTTCGTATAGCATACATTATACGAAGTTATACGGGGACCCGGGCTCCCGGAAGGGGACGGCGCCCCGGCTGGGAGGAAGCGCGGCCCGGGAACTTTGCTCTCTCACGTCGGTGGGCGGTGGCGCTCGCGAAGCCGAGACGGCGCAGAGCGGGGACTCGCGTCGTGCCGAGCGGACAGCTTTACGGCAGCCGCCTAGCCCGAGGCAGCGGGGCATCGCGGGAAGTGTAGTCCGTCCTCGGTAAGGGGCTCTCGGAGCGACGATTGGCTCCCGAATGCGGGGTCCTGATTGGACGCCGAACAGCTCGCTGTGCTTTTCCACCGCCCTGCAGCGATGGTTACTAGGCAACGTCCCCAATGCGTTCCCGGGACCCTGCAGTAAAGGCAAAGCGCCCTGATAGAGCTGTGAAGTTCCGCTCCCTCGGATTCCTAGGGCCAATGTCAACCTTGAAGGTTCTAGGTTTGATTTAATCAAAGAGGGCAATACTTTTTCTTACGTTCGTTCAAAAAGCGCCATTGATTGCCTAGGTTTGGGGAATACACAATTAAGACAAAGCCCCTACCTTTAAGGAACTCATAATCTATTGGGGACACAGACTAGAAACAGATAATTACAAAATAAAGAGACAAGTGCAGCGAAAGAGGTAAGCACTGCTAAAGCACACTTTGTCACCTTAGAGTGAGGTGGCGAGAGGATTTCCTGGGGAAGTGATCCCTGAGCTGAATTAAAACGAGAGGTAGGAGTTAGCCAGGTAAAGGAGGTACCGTAGACTGAATTGTGTTTCCCTTTCCAATTCATATGTTGAAGCCCTGATGTGATGGTATTTGGAGAAAAGATCTTGGGCTGGTGATTAGGTTCAGATGAGGTCATGAGAGTAGGGCCCTTCTGATGGGATTTGTGTCCTTATACAAAGAGAAACCAGAGAGCTTGCTCTTTCTCCACCATGTGAGGAGAGTCAGAAGGTGGCTATTTGTAAGCCAGGAGAAGAACCCTCACCAGAACCCAACCATGCTGGCACCCTGATCCTGGATTTTCAGTCTCCAAAACTGTGAAAAAATAAATGTCTGTTGTTAAGCCTCCCAGCCTATGGTATTTTGTTATGGCAGTCAGGGCAGATTAAGACAGGAGGGGAGGGAAGGTGCTGCTATAAAGGTCAACTGGACATAAGAAACAGCATGAGCAAAGCCGGGAAAGAGAGAAAATGGTGTGTGGGTGGAGAGTGGGTAAGACAGGAAGCAATGAAGAATAATGCTGGAGAGATGCACAGGGTCAGGGTGTGGAAGGTGTTGTATGCTACCTTAAGGAGTTTGAAGTGAGGTTTTTTTTTTTGTTTTTTTTTTTAAAGATGACCGGTAAGGGGATCTTAACCCTTGACTTGGTGTTGTCAGCACCACGCTCAGCCAGTGAGCTAACCGGCCATCCCTATGTGGGATCCGAACCCGGGGCCTTGGTGTTATCAGCACCACACTCTCCCGAGTGAGCCACGGGCCGGCCCTGAAGTGAGTTTTAAGCTGGTGAATGGTGTGGGCAAATTGGCACTTTAGTTGGATCAGTCCTATTGCAGAGTAGAGGGTGAATTTAAGGGGGAAAGACTAGAAGAGAGAAGACTGTTTTAGTCTGTTCCTGCTGCCATAACAAAATACCTGAGACTGGGTAATTTATAAAGAACAGAAATTTATTTTCTCACAGTTCTGAAGGTTGGAAGTCCAAAATCAAGGCACCAGCAGATTTGGTGTCTAGTGAGGGCTGTTTCCAGCTTTCAAGATGGTTCCTTACATGGTGGAAGAAATTAACAGCTCCCTTGCACCTCTTTTATAAGGGCACTAATCCCATTCATGAGGGTGTATTTAATCCCTTCCTAAAGGTCCCACCTCTTAATATTATCACAATGGTGATTAGGTTTCAGTATGAATTTTGAGAGGCCAGGGCAGAATGCTATGATTTGAATATATGTGTCTTTCTGAAATTCATATGTTGGAAACTTAATCCCCAATGCAGTTGTATGAAGAGGTGGGGCCTTTAGGAGGTGATTAAGTTATGAGGGCTTTGCCTTCATGAATGCATCATTGTCCTTCTGCAAGGGCTGGAGGGAACTAGCTAGCTCTTTTGCCCTTTTTTCTTTTTTGCCATGTGAGGACAGAACAACAACATGCCATTTTGGAAGCAGAGACACAGAACCTGCCAGCACTTTGATCTTAGATTTCCTAGCCCTTAGAACTATGAGAAAATAAATTTCTATTATTTGTAAATTTACCAGCCTGGGGTATTTTGTTATAGCAGCATGAACAGACTGACAAAAATCAAACTCTATACATGTATACATACTCTCTTTTCTTTTCTCGTCTTCTTTAAGAGACATAAAATTATATGAAGTAACAATTATAATAATATATTGTTTAGTTTATAACATATATAGGTGGAATATGTATAATAATAGCACAAATAATGTACAGTAAAGTGCACAAGTCTTAAGTGTAGAACTCAATGTATTTTTACATGTGTACCATGTAGCCACCACCCACATCAGATAGAGACAACTTCTAGCACTCCAGAAAGCTCCCCTGTGGCTCTCACAATATGTATACACAGAAGTAAAACAATGGAAAGTAAGAAAGTGATTATTATAAAGGCCTCAATAAAATTAACTTTAGGAGAGAGAGAAACAGGTATTGTTGGGAAGGGCCACATGAAGGGCTTCTGGAGTAAGAAGTGTTTTTTTGCTAGAACTGGATGGTGGTTACCAAGATATTTGCTTTACAATTATTCACTAATTTGTATGCTTATGTTTTCTGCACTTTCATGTATGTCTGTTTTAAGTCACAATTCAAAGTTTTAAATAAAAGATAAAGCAAATATAGTTTACATATTTTAAATTTTATTAATATATGTTGCCTTATGATTATTAAATATTTTGAATATCACCCCTGGGTAGGTCCCAAGTAACCATTTTCCATTACATGACTCTGCTCTCCTGAATAGAACTAAACTTGGCAGGGTCAATAAGAATATCTTCTCTAGAAATGGGAGAGAGAGTCCATAGTTCCTTGTGGGCAGGACTGTAATGTTTGATCTATGTGCTCTGAGCAGACACCCTATGCTAGGTGCACTTAATGGTAGGGGAGTCTGCATTACTAAGAAAGAAGAATGAGACAGATGGAAGAAATGTGGAGGAGACAAAGTGAGAACTCTGTGGATTCCTAGTGGTCTTCCAATCTCCAGCTCCCAGGCTCAGCTATTCACTGTCTGTTTTAAGTCACAATTCAAAGTTTTAAATAAAAGATAAAGCAAATATAGTTTACATATTTTAAATTTTATTAATATATGTTGCCTTATGATTATTAAATATTTTGAATATCACCCCTGGGTAGGTCCCAAGTAACCATTTTCCATTACATGACTCTGCTCTCCTGAATAGAACTAAACTTGGCAGGGTCAATAAGAATATCTTCTCTAGAAATGGGAGAGAGAGTCCATAGTTCCTTGTGGGCAGGACTGTAATGTTTGATCTATGTGCTCTGAGCAGACACCCTATGCTAGGTGCACTTAATGGTAGGGGAGTCTGCATTACTAAGAAAGAAGAATGAGACAGATGGAAGAAAGGTGGAGGAGACAAAGTGAGAACTCTGTGGATTCCTAGTGGTCTTCCAATCTCCAGCTCCCAGGCTCAGCTATTCACTGCCTTGGAAAGCCGTATTTCTGCCCATGAGTTATCCCTGTATCTTTATAACAAATTCTCTTTTTTGGATTAAAAAATTGGAGGTGAGGTGGATGAGACAGATAGGGTAGATAATTCTTTTGACAAGTTTTTTCATGAAAGGTTTTCTTTTCTTGTAAAAAGATGACCAGTAAGGGGATCCTAACCCTTGACTTGGTGTTATCAGCACCACGCTCTCCCAAGTGAGCCACGGGCTGGCCCATCATGAAAGGTTTTCCATTTTCCCAAGAAAAATGGGGCAAGATCTAGAGGGAAATGTAGGCACAAGGCCAGCAGACTGAGATGTGAAACACAAGATCATATTTCTATGTTGATAGGAAGGAAACTGATGATTCAGCAGAGATGGGATGATGCAAGGACCCAAGTCCTTGAGAAGGCAAGAGCAGCTGGGACCAGAGTACAAAGGGTCCTTTCTAGGGGTAGAGACTTCTAGATTATGCCAGGAGGGAAGAAGGATAAGATGGGGTAGGTTTGTTTGTAGATTTACTGAGAGAATTCCCATCTGATGATGTCTCTCTGAGACAAGGTAAACGGTTGAAAGAAGAGAAGTTATACATAGTCATTTCATAGAATGGGTAATAGAGCTTACTGGGAAAACACAGCAAGATGGTCAAGTAGAACTAAGGGCCAATATGAGGTTTATGATCACAAATTTAAGGTAAAAATATCCTAGCTGCAAAATTATGTTCAGAAGCAGAACTTGGGCAGATATTCGGGTTCATCCAGAATTGGAGTATTGCCAGGTGCGGTGAATGAGGGGATAGAAAAGCAAGGGAATGAACAATATTTGCATTGGAATTATTATAATGATATAGAAGTGATTCGCAATTCCAGCTGTACTTTAGAATCACTTGCGGAACTTTTAAAAATCCTGATTTTAATAGGTCTAGGATGGGACCTGAGCATTGGTATTTTTTAAAAGCTCCTCGAGTGCTTCTAATATGCAGTTGGTGTTGAGAACCATTGTATAGACTGTGAATCTAAGTTGAGTCATGGGAGAGGATAGGAGGGAGCTAATGAAAAGTAAGTTTTTTAAAAGCTCCTCGAGTGCTTCTAATATGCAGTTGGTGTTGAGAACCATTGTATAGACCGTGAATCTAAGTTGAGTCATGGGAGAGGATAGGAGGGAGCTAATGAAAAGTAATTGGTGGGGTCAATGAATTTGAAATCACAAAAACAGTAATAAATTCTAGCAGTGGAGTACTAGGCATGAGTCCCTACTCCCCTGCCAGGTGGCAACAGGCAACCACTGATAATTACTGATTCTTGACTTTGAAGCCAACCTGAAATGGCTGACTTACCATGCAGGCCTGCTATGGCGGGGGGTGGGGGTGGGGAAGACCTTCTAAAATGACTCCCAAAGATGCCCCACCCTAGTACCTGGGACCTGTGGATCTGATAAGAAATTGTTCTCATGATTATGTTATGTTATATGGCATGGTTGACCTTAAAATAGGGAGATCATCTTGAATTGTGAAGTCCACTGTAATCACATAAACCTCTTAAAAAAGCAGAGTTTTTTTTTTTCTGTCTGGGGGCAGAAAGGAAGTCAGAGAAATTTGAGGCGTGAGGGGGATTCAGTGTGCTCTTGCTGGCCTGAGGATGGAGGGGACATAAGGAAAGGAAAGCAACCTCAAAGAACCAACAGATCTGACAGCCAGCTAAGAAATGAGGACCTCAATCCTACAACTGCCAGGAACCAAATTCAGCAAACAACCTGAATGAATTTGGAAGTGGATTCTTCCCCAGAATTTCCAAATAAGAGCCTCATCTTGCCATAACCTTGATTTTGGCCTTGTGAGTCCTAAGCAGAGATCCCAGATGAGCTACACTGGACTCCTGACCTACAAAACTGCGAGGTAATTAATGGGGGTTGTTTTAAGTTGGTATGATTTGTTATGCAGCAATAGCTGACTTGGAACGACTGCAGAGATGCTGCTTTGGTTGGGACACCCATTGCCCATTCATCTCTTTTTACTTGCATTAGTAAATTGCCACCATTTCTGCCACAGTTGATCCTGGCACACCCAGATACCTGGGAGGGTCATCACTGGGCATTGCCACCAGCCTACTGAGGGGTAGACCACTGAATTCTTGGGGAGTGATGCCCTTTCAAAGCTTTACACTCAGGTATAGGAGAGATAAGATAGATGTCAGTGTTGGCCGAGGACTTAGATTTTCTAGGGACTGGGAGAAAGATATACAAGGGCACTTCAAAAAGTTTGTGGAACATAGAATTAAAAGATAATATGAATCTTTCTATGAACTTTTTGAAAAGTACCCTCATAAGGAGTGAAGGAATCAAAGGTGCTCATCTGCACTAGTCAAGAAAGAGGACCTAAGAGAGGCTGATAGATTTGGAAAATGTAAGGACCCAGATGCTGGAGGACCAGGACAAAGAAGCACAGGAGGGTGTAGGTGATCATGTGGAAGGTGGAAAGATAGGAAAATGAAGTCAGAGAGTGAAAAAGGATTTGCAGGAAGGAACGTTTTCTAGGAAACACATGGAAGTCTAATATGCTCAATGATAGCTCTTTCAGGAATCCCACTCACTTGGCACGACAGGGCCCCCACTTAGGGCCTCACCTAAAACAATCCAAGTTCCCAGTGCTCACCTGAGTCCCCCTTCTTGTGTCCCACTGTTATTAACTCCAGGTCCTTTTCCTTTTCATCCCTCCCTCGGGCCCTCTCCCCTTTGCCAGCAACTCTAGCTGTGTGGGACTGTCACTTGTGGGGTGCCGGAGGAATATGAGGGAGGGGCACTAAGCACTGGAGCATGGGCGACATCTAGCCTGGCCCCCACCCTCTCCACCCCATCCTGGAAATGGAGCCTGAGACAAGGACTTGGTCCAGTAAAGTGATTCCATAGAGTGGGGCTGTGGGACTTGGGAGAGGGAAGCAGGGAGGAGGAAAAATGGATACAAGGGGATCCATTTAAAGATCACTGCTGTGGGCACTGGGGGCTCGATTCGGCTTCTGAGAGTCATACAGAATGCCCCCCACAATAGGCTGTGTGAAGAATGGGAGGCTGGCGCATTTATCTGCATCAGCGCTCATCTCCAGTAGCTGAGGGGCGCCCCCCAGAGGCATTAACTGCATTCTATCCCCGCACTTTTACTTCTGGCAGTACTTGTGCAAAAGCCACGTGGTTAGAGCACGGTGCTTATTATAACACATGGTTCAAGGTTCGGCCATCCACCAGACAAACAAACAAACAAAAAAAGTGCAATGAGATACCACTTCATACTCACTGAATGGCTATTTGAAAAAAGAAAAAAAAGATAAGCATTGGAAAGAATGTGGAGAAAACAGAACCCTCGTATATTGCTGGTGGGAATGTAAAATGGTGCAGCTGCTTTGGAAAACAGTTTGTCAGGTTCTTAATTAAACGCAACCCCCCCTTTTTTTATGACCCAGTAATTCCTGTCCTAGGTATAATATACCCAAGAGAAATGAAAGCATGTGTCCACACAAAGACTTGCACAAGAATGTTTGTAATAGATTTATTCAAAAGACAGGGGAAAAAATTGAAATAACCTGAATGTCCATCAGCTGGTAAATGGATCAAGGGTGGTATATCCATACAACGGACTGTTATCCAGCAGTAAAAGGGAACAAGCTACTGATACATGGTATAATATGGAAGAACCTCAACATCATCATGCTAATTGAAAGGAGCCAGACATTTATACACAATGTCCAGAAAAGGCAAATCTATTGAGATAGAAAGCAGTTTAGTGGTGCTTGGGGCTAGAAGTGGGAGTGATTGATTGCAAACGGGCATGAAATGATGAAAATGTTCTAAAACTGGATTGTGGTGATGTTTGTGCAACTTTACTTTTTATAAAAGTCACTGAAGTATAAACTTAAAATGGGCGAATTTCATAGCATGTAAATTGTACCTCAATCAAGCTGTTGTATAGAGGAGGAGAAGCTGACGTTACCCCGACCTTGCCTGGAACTTTCCGCCACAGCTGCAGCTAACATCACATTGGGTGGAGGGATACGCCTGGGACACTAGAGATGTCTAATAGAGAGGTCTTCAGACTTTACATTCAACCCTGTCCTGCTACAGATCAGGAAACTGAGGCTCGAGGCGGGAAGTGACTTGCCCAAGTTCGCCAGCGGCGGTGAATGCCGGACGCTCAGACCCACCCTTCCTCCCTTTTCCCACGGGGCCCCAAGATGGAGACTCTACACACGGACTTCCTACCAATGTCACTTTATTTAGGACACTCTAATGCCAGGGCACGGATCCCCAGTCGGGGCGGGTGGGGGAGCGTGGGAGGCGGCGGGCAGTGCGCTGAGCCCAGGGATCGCGAGAGGGACAGAAGCGGACCCCTCCTCCACGGAGCTTGTCAGCGCTTGGAGAAGTCGCCTCCTGTGGGACAAGTAAGGAGGAGACGGGCTAGCAGATGCAGCAGAGCTGGGAGGGGGGGCTGGAGGCAGCAGGGCAGCACGCGGGGCGGAAGTGGAAGAGCTGCCAGGAGGACGCCCAGGGCAAATGCCGGCTCTGCCACGGCGCTGCACCCAGGCGGCATCAGCGCGCTTCCACCTGCTTCCGCTGCACCCAGGCGGCATCAGCGCGCTTCCACCTGCTTCTCCCTCACGTGCCGCACACGGGACCTCAGGGTACCAGGTACTCCACAAGACCCGGGCACCCACCGGGCACTTCGCATGCACACTCTCACCCAGTCCTCCCAACGAGCCTGTGCAGCGGTATCAGCCCCGTTTAACAGATGAGGCTCAGCAAGGAAATGGATGAGCTGGGATTTGAACCGGGGTTGGCTTACTCCAAACACTCTCCCTCACGTGCCGCACACGGGACCTCAGGGTACCAGGTACTCCACAAGACCCGGGCACCCGCCGGGCACTTCGCATGCACACTCTCACCCAGTCCTCCCAACGAGCCTGTGCAGCGGTGTCAGCCCCGTTTAACAGATGAGGCTCGGCAAGGAAATGGATGAGCTGGGATTTGAACCGGGGTTGGCTTACTCCAAACACCCAAGCTTACGCAAGGGAAAGGGTCGGACGGGAAGAAAAGAAGAACGGAGCGAGGAACGACGTGTGTGTTCCTCAGGCCTGGCTCACAACGTCGGGTCCTCGCCCAGGCCCGCAGCCCGCCCCGGCCACGCCCCTCAGGAGCCCCGCCCCCGGCAAAGCCCCGCCCCCGGCAAGAACCAAGCCCCTCCGAGAGCCCCGCCCCCGACAAAGCCCCGCTCCATCTAGGAGCCCCTCCCTGGACAAGGCCCCGCCCCTCAAGGGACCCCGCCCAGACCCACCCTGGCAGGCGCTGCACTGGCAGCTGTGGATGACCGGCAGCACCACCGGCTCTGTGTGGCCACCCGGACAGCGCAGGTTCAGGATCCGCACGGGGCTGTCGGGGTCCAGGCGGTAGCTACAGCAGTCGCACTGGCTCTGCAGGTACGGCTCCTGGACGAGAGGGGGTGGCTGAACTGGGAGGGGCCAAACGGAGTTTCCCCCCTTCCTTTCGCCTTTCCCATCCAACGGGGGTGTGGCAGAGGGAGGGCCAGATCCCAACTCCTCGCCAAGCTGGGTACCCGGGCCGGGCCGGGGAGGGAAGTGTCAGCACCATGGCTGCATCCTGGTAGCAGGGGAAAGACACAGCTTCTACACCAACAGACTTGCAGTCTAGTTGGAGAGACAGACTAATAATATATGAAACTGCGAATAATGAAGCCCTAATTGCACAATTCTGCACCTACGTGCAAAGTGAGTTCCCACTCCAAAGCAGAGAATTTGATTTAATTTTATCTATAACTATATTTATAATTTTACTTTGAAATATATAGGCAATAATAGTTAATGCATTCATATAATACCAAGTTTTAAAACTACAAAAGGTTATTCAACGAAAAATATCTGCCTCCAATTTTCTATCCCACTTTCAGTTTCCCTCCCCAGAAAAAAATCTCTTTACTTTCTTTCCTCACTCTGTGTTTTTAAAATTCTAAATGTAATTTGAGAAAGCACTCCCAGGAGGTGCAGGGAGTGAAGATTGAGGGGCAGCATCTTTGGGGACCAGGTAGGAAAGCATCTTTGTCTGACAGGACTAAATAACCCAGGCGGCCGAGGCAGGAGGGAAGGATCAGAGTAGAGGGAAAATGAGACCTGGCTCCTGGGGCAGGAGCCGAGTGAGGCTCATTTTCCCAGGAGTCACAGCTCTCCAGGCTCAAGTTTAAGGGAGTCAGAGCCACTGAAAAGATCCTAATGAGCAGGGCTCAGCTTCTGGGTCCAGGCAGAGCAAGGCAGAGTGGAGCCACGTGCCAAGACTCAGAGTCAGCCTCGGGACCTGCTCGTATACCTTGCCAGGCAATGTCTGGGACGATCCTATTTATAAAAACTCTATCCCATCAGAGCTGTCAATTGTATGATGAGTTCTGATTTCAGAGTCTAACCCAGCCCCACCTTGCCCTTCTTTGTTGGTGTCCTGGCTTCTTTGCCTTAAGGGGCACATTGGGTTGAGGGGCATGCTCTGGGAGCAGCGTGCAGCCACAGCAGGAGAAGACCTCCTCATGAGGGGGCTGAGGCACCCAGCCAGGCTACTGGGCCAACCAGCAAGTGTAGACCACAACCTGGTGCAAAGCTCTGACCATCTGTATCCTCAATGCGACTGTTAGCTCTGTGAGCATCAGCCGTGTCCCTTGTGTCCTCTGGACTTTGTCCAGGTCCTACGCTTGCAGCCAGCCCTCTGGCACTGCTGGCTGACCTGACTCCCCTGGGTCTGGGGTCTGTACAGCAGCCCACTGGCTCACCTCAGGCATGACATTGGTGCTGGATGGGCAGTGCCCGCTGCAGTAGCTCACTTCTACATGGTCCAGGTAGCAGGGGCCCTTGGTGAGGTTGCGACGCTCAGTGAGGTGCCTGCAGGAGGCTGACTGCTCCTCTGTGGGGAGGAGCAGGTGAGCGTGGCAGGAGTGGGGGCAAGGAGGTGACTGAGGAGGATTATGGGGGGCGGCTGGGCAGAGCAGTCTGAGGGGAGCACGTTGGGGCGGGGATGGCCAGGCGCTATGTTGCAGCAGGGAGGGGTCTCCACTCCTGTAATCCCCACGGCGGCAGACCAAGAGAGGGCACATGCCAGACTGAAAAGGCCAGGTGTGGGGGTGGTTTGGGAGAAGGAGGGGCGGGGATGGCCAGGCGCTATGTTGCAGCAGGGAGGGGTCTCCACTCCTGTAATCCCCATGGCGGCAGACCAAGAGAGGGCACATGCCAGACTGAAAAGGCCAGGTGTGGGGGTGGTTTGGGAGAAGGGTCCAGACAAGGGAGAAGCATGGTAGGAGGCACCCCAGGTCTCCTCCATACCCAGAGTCTTCCAGCGGCAAGTGGGACAACAGTTCCCTGGCTCCTGCACCAGCACCTCGTCCTGTGGAGGGAGCGGTCCCTAATTGACTAAGCAGGCTGGCCCTGACACACGCGTCCAGCACTGCCTGCCCAGAGACCCTAAGACCAGCCTGGAGGAGCACCCAGGAAGGAGCCAGAGGAGCCACCCCGAGAGGGCAGCAGGGCTGCACTAGTACCTGAGCACAGGTGAGGAGGGGGCAGTGCTGGGTGCAGACACTCCTCCCACTGAGGCAGCGGCAGCTCTCACAGGCCTCCTGCCATTCAGATCCCGGCTGGAGAGAGAGGGATGAGCCGCCTCTTGGTCTCCCCTACTTGTAGACTTTTCTATAATAATATCCCGGATCCCCAAACCCAGCCTGGGAATACCTAGGGCAATGAACTTGGATTAGAGTCTCAGGAAGGAGATGGACTGTTGGAGCCAGAGCCAGGTGGTCCAACCCAGGGCCAGAGACCGTCTCAGTGATGGTCAAGCCCTACCCACTGCCACAGGGAGAGAGTGGGGGTGGGGGGTGGCAGTGGAGTTACAGACACCAATTCAGTAGATGGGGAGGCCTGGGGCCAGGAAGGGGTGGGTGGTAGCAGAGGGGGGTATGGTGTCTCACCAGGTGGGGTCGTCCACGGTGCCAGCACTCGCAGCGGTCTGCAGGCACGCAGGGGCCCGCCTGGCTGCGGAAGTGCCCTTGCTGGCACACGCAACCCGGGGCCTGTGCTGCGCTGCAGTTGCTCTGAGTCTCTGTGGTGTTCACCTCCCGGCATGTCCGCTCACAGGGCCCCAGCTCCCCGGGGACCACCTGCTGCCACATTTCTTCAGGGGGGCACTCTGCCAGGCAAGACCATCCAGCCCACCTCTCAGATCAGCCCTGGATCCAGCCTCCCTAGCTGGGCGCCCCTCGCATCCCACCTCCCCTTCTCATGTGCTGCCTCCTCGGTTCCAGCAGCTTCCTCTTGCTCTTCTCCACCCACCCAAACACTAGCTGGGCCAAGGCAAAGGTCTTGCCTCCTCCAGAAAGCCTTCCCTGACCAGTCCTGTTCACCCCAGCCTCTCCATTCTCAGCACTGATGTCACATCTTGTTGGTGCAGTCTGCTTGTCAGAGACCCGAGAGACCATCTCCTGTGTCTACCTGTTCCCACGGGTGGTCTGCCCTACCAGCCAGGCTGGGAGTGCTGGGGACTAGCCGTGCCTTGTGTTTCTGCATCCACAGAGCCTGGTGTGGCAGAGTGGGGCACACAATGGGTGGGCCCTTGGTCTGAATTGGATGGGGCAACACTGCATAGGGCAAACACTGCCAGGCCAGGCCCCTCATTTCCGCTGGCCCCTCTGGACCTCAGTTTTCCCATCAGCAGGGAAAGAGGCTTCCACTTCCTACATTGCTCACAGCCCAGGCTCAGTGTGCACACCACGTACTTGATGGACAACCCCCGAGAGGGTGGGCCATGCTGGGTGCCTAGAGAGCCCTGGGCGGGGGTCCCAGCTCAGGAGGGGCTTCCAGAAGGTGATAATTTGTCTAGAATGTGTGTCGGGCTCTTATCCCATCCTCAGGGCCAGCCCATCCCTGGCTTTGGAGGGCCAGCAAGACACAGACAGCCACATCTCACCTTGACAATCAGTGAGGGAGCAGCTGAAGGCCCCACCTTGGCAGACACTGGGAAGACAGGAACAAGCGCTCAGATGCCTTCCACGCCCCCTCCCCACCCCCATCCTCGGCAACCCCTTACTCCATCCCTGCTCCCCACCCCTGGCCCATGGGCTCTCACCAGCGGGTGCAGTTCTGGGTTAGCACACTCCCTGGGGGCAGCTCCCGGGCCTGCTCTTCGAGGGTCAGGGTGAGGCCCCAGGGCAGAGAGAGCTGGGTGCAGGGGCAGGCGGCAGGGGGCACGCACGTGTTGTTGTGCAGCAGCTGAGTTGGGCAGGCTCTGTCACACTTGTGCCACCGCCTCTCCCCTCCCCACCTGCCCGCTCCCCCACATGGGAGTCAGGGCACAACACTCCGTACCCACCTGCTCTCCGGGGCAGCCACAGCCAGGCTGGCAGGGCTCCCGCACACAGATGGTGCCAGGCTGCAGGTGCGAGCAGAAGCGTGGGCACAAGGTGGCACAGGCGCTGAGCACCTGGCCAGGGGGGCACTCTGTGGGGAACATAGATCATGAGGTGGGAGGGACCTGGAATCTGTGTCCCAGGAACGGGCTTCCTTGGACCCCCACTCCCCGGTCCCACCTGGCTTCCTTGGACCCCCACACAGCTGGGACAGGGCCTAGGCTCAGCAGCAGTGGAAGGGAGAGGGGCACCTCCCACCCAAGGCGCTCACCAGGGCAAGGCTGTAGGTTACATTCCCGCTGTTGCTCTGTGTCCTGGGCCTGGCATGGTGCCCCCCCAGGACCCTTTTCACAGCTCCGATGTCGCTCCATGGTGCCCCCACCACAGGGAACTGAGCAACTGCTCCAGGCTGACCAAGTCCCAAGAACTGGACACTCATGGAGTGGGCACACCAGGGACCCGTTGACACAGGTGCTATGGACAGGGGTGTGCAGAAAGGACCCAAGCCCCGAGTCAGTAATGCCCATAAACCCTGATCTGCAGACACCTCCTGCCCACAGCTCCCCTGGCCCTGGCTTGGCCATACCAGTTTTTGCAGTCCAGCTGCACCACCTGGGTTGGGGCCAGCTCCCAGGAAGCATTGGCACTGGGGAGGCCACAGCGGCAAGAGGAGATTGGCACGCAGCGCCCGTCCTGTACCAGTTGGCCAGGGGGACAGCGGCAGCCTGGGGGTGGGGTGGGGAGGACAAACAAGGTCCAGTGCTCAGGCAAGGCTCACACGATGGATCCCTCTGGCAACTAGATTGAGTCCAAAGCCTGGTCTTTGCGATATCTCCCACCACCCATGCACAGGAATGGGCCACTGGAGCTTGCCCTGTGTGTGGGCACCACCTGGTAACCCTTCCAGCCACCTGTGAGCATCTTCATGGACACGGCCGGTCTTGATTGAGCCTCACTCTATGCAGGACTCAGAGCTGGTTGCTGAAAGTGACCCAAGGATCCACTTTCCTGCCCTATAATTCATGGTCCAGCAGTCTGAACCTCCCCCCACCTCCCATCCCCACCCAAGGTCACACACTCTCTGGGAGCAGGAGGTGGTGAGAGAGGCCCAGCCTCCCCAGAACTCCCAGGTTGGGAGGTGAGTGGCCAGCTACCTGGGCGGCAGGGTCCCTGCAGACACTGCACGCGGTCCCAGAGGTCAGCGCAGCTGCGAGGGCACTGGTTGGCACAGTCTAGGGTGAACACTGTGTCCCGGGCCTCGCAGCTCTCCCCTGGGGACCAGAAGGTAGGAGTGTGTGCTGGGGGACACTGTTGGGCCCCCAGGAGGGCCCTTTCACTGCACACCTCTGGGCAGAGGCCACAACCTTCTCAGGTGCCATCCCCAGATGTTCCAGTCCGGCCCCTCCTCCAGGTGTTAGGATGGGAGTTACCTGGGCAGGACGCTAGGTTGCAGCTCTCAGTCTGAGCCCATGGCCCCTGGCAGCCTCCTCCAGGGGGACCCCCTGCCTGTCTCCAGCGCAGCCGGAATCCCCCACCGCAGGGCACCTGGCAGGGGCTCCAGGGCCCCCAAGGGCTCCACTGGCACGAGTCTGGGGAGGGTAATGTGGAAGTCAGCGCCCAGGCCCCTCCCTGCCTGCCTCCTGCCTCCACTCCAAGGCCTTGGGCTCCCCTATGTGCACTCTGGCATGCCTGAGGCCCGCTGTACTGCCTTCTGGTTCTTTCTAGCTGCTCTGGCCCTAGCCCAGCTTCAACCCAGCAGGCCCTAGAGGCAAGTAGGAGGCCCACTGACTACTGTGCCCTGGAGTGAACTCCATGGCCCAGCCGTACTGGCTAGGTCGCCCCCACCACACTCTAGGTCCCCCACTGCCCTGCTGGCCTCCACCCCTCCCCATTACCACGGCAGGTTCCAGGGTCGGGGCAGAGGCGTTGCTGGCTAAGGGGTGCGGTGCAGAGGTGAGGGTCTCCGGCCCACGGCCTCCCTGACTCAGGGTCCAGACAGAGGCGGTGGCGGTGCTGCTCCGAAACCAGCATGGGGCCCGAGGTTGAGGTGAGGCCGGCTGAGTCGTGGGGCCAGTGCCCCTCTAGGGCAGTCCTGGAGGCAGGGGCCAGGGTGCTGGGGGGCAGGCAGGGCCCACAGGGCGACCACTCGGACCAGCCGCTCAGAGGCAGAAGACCTACAAGGGCAGCATGTGGGTGCCCTTCCCAGTGCCCCTTGCCCTGACCCAGAGACCCCATGGACAGACAGGACGGCTCAGGTTTATGACCAGGAAGGGGTGGAAACAGGACAGGCTGAGGGACGTGCGGGGGCAGTCTGTCTTGGACTGTCCCAGTCTTAGCACTGAATGTTCTGCATCCCGGAAACCCCTCAGTCCCCAGCGAGTGGGGACAGTTGTCTCCCTAGGCCAGGGTTACCTTGACAGCCCTGGCTGGTGCACTGGAGCTCTCCACGCCGGCATTCACTGTGGAGGGAGGGGTCAGGGTGGGTTCTGGGAAGCAAGACCTGGCCTGGAGCCGGGGGCTCACATCGGGGTCACTGAGCTCTGGTGCATGTGGGGCATGATGAGGAGCTGCAAGGGCTGGCATCTTGGGGCCCACTGCCCAGAGGCTGGGCTGGGCCCGTGGAGCTTAACTTGGCCCTTTCTGCCTGGGTCAAGCTGCTCCTGGGGGAACCCCTGCCCCACTCCCTGGCCCCAGCCTCCGCCTCCCCTCGGCCATCACTCACCACTCCTTACAGCCCAGCTGCAGGCGGTCCCCTGGGGCCAGGGGCACCCTGGCTCCCTCTCCTGAGGTGTGCCAGCAGTTACACTGCTCTGGGGGGATGCAGCCCCCAGCCTGCTCCAGCAGCCCCTGTGTGGAAGGAGAGACAGGGACGGGGCTTTGTGGTCTGTGTCGCCCGAATGTTCAGCACCGTGGCCAGCCAGCAGCAGGTGCACACGCATGTTGCTGAGTGAATGGATGGGCAAATGAACACAGGCTGGGAAAAGGCACCAAGTACCAAGGGGTCTGGAGGAGGCGGGGGTCACCATGGGCATCATGGGGGGAGGAAGTGTGGGAGTGTGGACAGAGGACCCCCTTCTCCTTGGGAAGCTCCCCCAGCTCTCACCTTGGGGCAGTAGCAGCCAGGCTGGCAGGGCGGCAGGTCCTGGCAGAGCTGATGGCTCAGGTGTGTGGCACAGAGCCCAGAGCAGGGAGAGCCACAGGCCTGGAACTGGAAGGGAGGCGTGCAACTGTCCTCTGGGGGGCAAGGAGAAGGCAGGCTGCTGGGGAAACGGCCCAGAGACATGCTCTCCCCTGCAAGCCCAGAGCACATACTGCGTGGTCCCACTGAGGCCCCTTGGGGTCAGCCAGTGAGAATACAAGACTGCCCCCCTGCTGCAGGTCAGTACAGACCAGTGTCCACCATCTGGCACCCACTCAGCCCCTGTGGGTGCCCCCAGGGAAGGATTAAGATGGGTTGGGCCTTGGAGAGGCAGGAACCTGCATAGGGGCGGGGGCTGCAGAGGTTAGGGGTTGGCTCCAGGGACTGGCAGAGGGGGACAGAAGGGCGGAGATGGGCGGCAGCTGCAACAGGGGGTGGGCAAGGCATGCTGTCCCTGGGGCAGGGGCCACAGCTACAAGGGACAAAGCCATAATTGGGCCAGCAGCTGCAAAGTGTGAAAATCATGGTAAGGACTTGGGGGGAGTAGCTGGGATGAGAGAGTAGCTGGGGGAGGGAGTCACTGGGTGCCAAGGGCAGGCGGGCAACCACTCTGAGGTCCTGGGGCAATGGGTCTGCTCTGAGAGGAGCTGGGAGTCCCCGTGGGGACCCTGGAGGCTCTGCCCTGCTCAGCTCCCTGGCGTCTTGCTCCTGGGCCTCACCAGAGCAGTTGCGGAGGAGGCAAGGCCGGAAGTGGCCATCCAGACGCGTGCAGGGGGGGCCCTCTCCAGCGCCTCCGGGGGCTGGTCCCTGGTGTCGGTAGCGCTGCTGCACCAGCACCTGGCACGAGCAGCGTGTCCAGCTGCTCCAGCTGCTCCACACGCACTGCTCTAGGGATGGGGGAGGGCGTGTCAACAGGGGGCCTCTCTGGGCTCCCCCAGCTTCTCCCTTACCTGCCCTCCACTCTTGCCCCAGCCCTAGCCAGGACCCAGCACAGGAAGAACGAGAGGGAACCAGGAGTCCATAAAGGCCCCAGCTGGCTGGGTTCCCTCTCACCTGCCAAGGGGGGAGCACAAAGGCTCTGAAGGGAAGAGAAGGTGGGAGGAGAAAAGGAGAGAAGCAAAATGTTGGGGAATAGATCTAGATGTATTTGGGGGGGATAGTCTGGGGGTTGGGAAAATCTGCATTGTTCCCTGAATTTCCCAGGGTAAGAAAACAGGGGAGGGGCTTCATTCCCACACACACTCACCTGGGCAGGGCCCTGGGTAGCAGGCCTGGGTGTCCAGGTGGAGGAAAGTGCCATTGCAGGTGAGGTCTGCCTGGGCCAGCAGGCAGGGGCAGGACCCAGAGCGGGAAGCCAGACCTGGGCCGCAGCTGTGGGAACAGGGCCCCCACGGGCCCCAGGAGCAGGCCTCCAGCAGCCCTAGGCACGGCTGCAGCTCACAGCGCTGGGTCTGGGTGTTGGGGCCCTGGCAGGGTGGCTCCCCATGGCGAGGGGCTGGGGCCAGGCAGGCCCGGGTGCGGACCTGGTTTCCACCTCCACAGGAGACAGGGCAGTCAGACCAGGGGGACCAGACCGTCCAGGCCCCGGGCACTGTGGGAGGACACAGCTGAGCTTAGAGGAGTTGGAGGGAGCAAGGGCCCAAAGCACCAGCTCAGGTCCTTCATGGCACAGAGCATGGCAGTTGGGTGGAAGGAAATATGGGACACAGAGTAGATGGAAGGCAAGGCATATGGCAAGTAGGGTGGGCTGAGGTGAGGATCAGGATGAATCCCAGACCTGCACACTCGATGTCTTCGCAGATCACGCCCTCTGGGGTGCAGGAGCTGGGGGAAGAGCCCAGACTCAGTGACCCATCTCTCCAGCGGACAGTCTGGGTCACCCTTCCTGGCCCTGCACTTACCACTGCTGGCACTCTCCCTGTAGCCAGCTGTCCCCCAGGGTGCGGGGGCGGGTGCCCTGCAGGCACAGGGGTGGGCACGGGGACTGAGGGCAGGGCTGGCTCTGGGACTGCTCTTCCCGACACTCTGGGGCCCACGAGCCCGATGTGGAGGACCTGGGTGGAGCCAGAGCAGAGGATGTGAGAGGTGTCCCGGCCCTTCATCGCTCCTCTGCCTCCTAGTGAGACGTGCCAATGGCAAACCCCAGGTGGGCACGTGGGGCCCACGAGCCCGATGTGGAGGACCTGGGTGGAGCCAGAGCAGAGGATGTGAGAGGTGCCCCGGCCCTTCATCGCTCCTCTGCCTCCTAGTGAGACGTGCCAATGGCAAACCCCAGGTGGGCACGGGGGGGTGGCTAAGGGAAGACCAAGGCTCAGGTTGGTGCAAAGTCACCAGTGAGGGCAGGACCAGGATCTCTATGTCAGAAGGAGATGGTGCCAGGCAGGCAGAGGGAGGCCCGGGGTGGGAGAGGGACACGTAGTCTCGCCCAGCCACATACCGGAAGCGGCTCTGCTGCCCTCCGGGGCCACACGAGTGGCTGCAGGGACTCCAGGCAGACCAGCGGCTCCAGGCGCAGTGCGTGGGGGGTGGGCAGGGCTGCGCTGTGCAGGAGAGCTGCCCGTCCTGGCAGGAGCAGTTGTTGCAGGCGTCCTGGTGCTGGCTCCCTGGGGCCCAACTGTGGCCCCGGGCATCTGTGCACTCACAGTGCCCAACTGGCACGCAGCTGCCGTCCTGCTCCAGGGACCCTGTGGGGAGGGGGCCCTCATGGGCTGGCGCTGGCATCTGTGGGCTCCACCCACCTTCCCACTGAGCTGCCCTGACAGGAATGAAAGGCCGGAGGCACCTACCCTTGGAGCAGCGGCAGCCACGCTGGCAGGCCTGGCCATCCTGACACACGACTCCCTCCTGGAGGTCTGTGCAGCGGCGAGGGCAGCGGTTGGCACAGCTGACCACCTCCATGCCCGCTGGGCAGCCCTCCTCTGAGCAGACGAGAGGCCCAGAGTCAAGGGGACCTGAACCCCAGGGATCAGAAACCCTCCCCCTGCCCCATCAAGGACCCCCTTACCTCCATGAAGCATGGGACCCATCCTTTCCCCCATGTTGGTGCCCATGGAAACACAGGGGACTTGGGGAGACACTGAGTTGGGTCATTCTCAGTAGACAGTGAGTTCCTGTCAGCTACCTGTGAGTTCTCAGCACCTAGCCTGGTTCCCAATTGATGCTGAGCTGGACTGAATTTGTGCATCTCAAAAGCCAATATTCTCACCTAGAGCCTCCTTTGTGTTCCTCCAGAGGGGGTGGGAGTATCCAGGTGGGTGGGGGTTTCCTAACAGAGGCGGTGGTCCTAGAGGAGCCAAGGTCCTGGGGCTGGAGAGCTTGGAGGAGCACTTGGAGGAGGACCTAGGGGAGCGGGGGAGCACTATGGCCCCTCTGGCTCAGGCACACTCCTGACTGTGACTCTCAAATCCTCCAAATCTTGACAGGGCTGGGTGGCTCTTCAGGAACTGGAGGGTGGGGAAAGGAGCTCTACCCTGGGGTGGGGGTGGGGGGGATTCCCGCAGCTCAGCCCTGGGCCTCGGCACAGGTGAGACACACACGGGGAATCCTCGTGCAATGTCCGATCCAGCCGTCTATCCCTACCGGGTCTCAGTTTTCCTCGTGGTGCTGTGGGGATGAAGTTAGAGGGGTGGGGAGAGCTCTGCAGAGCAAAGCCCAGGAGGAAGGGGAGGATCTGTCCCCATTACTGTACCACAGGGCTCGGGATTGCAGAGCCGGGTGTGGTGCCTCTCCCCAAGACAGGGGGCACCCCCGTTCTTGGGTGGGGGGCTCGAGCAGCTGCGACTCCTCAGGGATCGGCCCCCCCCACAGCTCCGGTCACACCAAGACCAGGGGCTCCAGCGTGACCAGCCCCCGGGCACTGTATGGGAAAGAGAACGGCTGCGTGAGTGGTGGGCTGAGGCAGGGGGGCCTCTCCCACAGGTCCCACAGCCCAGGCCGGGATCTGGTGTGAGAGATGGCAGTGCCACACAGGCAGGCATACTGCTGCCAGGGGCTTCCCAGGGTAGGGCAGACCCTGGGGCACGCCCTGGTCCTCCCAGCCCACCTCACCTGGGCAAGCGCGCAGGCTGCAGAAGCGGCGCTCCTGGTAAGCAGTGAGAATGTCGGGGCACCAGTGCCCCCCGGGCCCTGGGGGATGGTACGCCCGCAGGCGGCGCTGCTGGCCCACCCCGCAGCTGCGGGAGCACGGTTCCCATGGGGCCCAGGCCGTCCAGGAGCAGTTCCTAGCCCCGCAGCCAGGGCTAGGGCACAGGGACAGCTCTGCAAGACAAAGCGGAGCTGCCACCAGCCCGGCTGCATGGAATCCGCCCCAGCCTCTCCTCTCTGCTGCTAGCTCAGGCGCAGACCTCCCACCTGGGCCGGCTGTGACTTCACCCAGATCTTTGAGCTCCTGTTCTGGATCTAATGCTGTTGCCTGGCTTTGGCAACTGGGCCTCAGTGTCCCCCTTTCTCACAGGAGACAGTAATCCCAGACTCACAGGGCTGCTGAGGGATTTGGCTGGGGCTTTAGGGGAGTGTTAAGCACACATATGAGCAAGACCAAGGGATTTGCTGGAAGTTGGCAGAGAGCACCCAGCGCCTGGAGTTAGACACTGATTTGAGATCAGACATCAGCATTAAAAAGTAATCACTGTTTGAGGGGGTGTCAGATGTTGGGATTTGGGGACTGGACACCAGCCGGGGTTCGGAGTTGAGGACGTGGGCGGGGTCAGAGGTGGTTGAGGCTGGAAGGTGCACCTGTACACGAGGGCAGGTTGCAGGGGCGCTCCTGCCAGGGGTCCCCCACGGTGCAGTTAGCCAGGCAGAGGCGGGTGCGGCTGCGCCACGCAGGGTGAGAGAGGTCTGTGCAGCTGTGGGAGCAGGGGGACCACGGGGACCATGGGCCCCAGCCACCTGCAGGGAGGGAGGAAAGGAAGGGCGCCTGCTGCTGAGCGAGCCCTGGGCTCCGGCCTCTCATGGAAGCAGGACTGGGGAGAGAGAAGGCCCTGGGCTTGCTTGCTCTGCCCAAAGGAAGGCCACGTGGGAGAGGTACAGGGAGTCTGGGGCTACCTGGAAGGCTTGTCACTGGCTCCACCGTGGACCTTTCAGCCCCTGTGGCAAAGAAAACCCTGCTCAGAAATGTTTCTGAGCCCACAGTGCAGTGGGACCACATCCATGGCTGGTGGCCAGCGCTCCGAGCCTGTCACTGTGTGGTCCAGCCTTCACTCCAGGACCCAAGCACAGCACTTTGTCGTGGGATCAAGGCCTTTGTTTAAGTTCCTGCTGTCTGGCAGTCCTTCCCTTCCAGTGCTTGCTGAAGTTCTCAAAACCCTCCACATACTGCCTCCTCCAGGTAGCCCTCCTAGACTGCTCCTCTAGGAGAATTCGTTCCGCACCCCCACCCCCACCCTGCCCCTGCATTTTCCACAGCTCATGCTTTCTGCAGAGCTCACCACAGGCCAAGATGGGTTATCTGAGCCTCTGAATACCAAGGTCAGGGGCCTTCCCCTCCCCTGTACACACAGTTTGGAGCATTTGGCAAGAGCTCTAGAAATGGTGGCTGAATGTACCTGAATAGAAGAAAAGTCTAGGGATAGAAGGTGAGAGGAAGAAAGCTCTAGAGAGAGCAAAAGGGACAGACAGACTGGAAAGGACAAAGGGCAGGCTAAAGCAGATTTGGCTGCCCAGTGCCTTTCTAACCTGAGCCCTGCCCACCACCTTCCTGCTTGCCTTACCAGGACAGTCTGGGCTGGGGCAGTACTCAAGGTCCTGGTGGGGCCCGTGGCAGCCCTGGCCAGTGGGAGCTGGCGTGGGGTGCACACACTGGCGGCTGCGGGTGCGGGTGCCCAGTCCACCACAGGAGCGGGAACATGCGCTCCATGGGCCCCAGGGGCCAAAGCCGCTACGGGCCTTGGAGCAGTCCTCCATGGAGCAAGACAGCTTCCCATGTGCACAGGAGCTGGGGAGAGGGCACGGAGGTGAGGAGCAGAGCAGGACGAACTGGGAGAAGGGTGTGGGCAAGGGTCCTGAGCCCCAAAAAGTGAGAAGATGGAGCCAGGTTAGCCCACGGCAGGTGGTGGGCAGAGGGCAGAACCAGGCTCCCTGTCCTCTCACCCTCTAACCCCTTCCCTCCATCCCTTCCCAGCCCATCCCCACACTTGTCGACCCCCTCACCAGTTGCTGCAGCCTGTACGTAGCATCTGGCCTGAGGCTAGTTCATCTCCAGGCCCAAAGAGCTGACCGCCCTCTCCCAGGAAAGGTGGGTGCTCCCCCGGGTCAGTGCTCGCGGCTGCCAGCTCCTCCAGCAGTGAGGCCGTCAGTGCACAGGGGCACTCCTGGAGGGGGGCGGGCAGAGGAGACAGTGCCATGGCACAGGCCAGCCACCAACTGGAGCCCCTGTACACCCTCTAGGGACACTTGGGGGAGGGAAGCAATAGGGGTGGGGAGGACAGTGTAAGGACCCAGAGAAGGGCTCTGGGCCCAGGAGAGCACTTCTGGGAGCACGTCAGGGGGTGAAGGCACCAGGAGAGGTGTGTGGTCCATGGGCTTTCCTGCACAGAGCACTTAGCAGGACGTAAGCAGGGGTCAAAAGAGACCCTTATAGGACAGGCTTTGTTGGGGGCAGGAAGAGCCTCAGCCAAGAAGAGGGACATCCAAGCTTGAGTCCAGCTCTGCCGCTCACTGTCTGTGTGACCTTGGTGTGTCCCTTCCCCTCTCTGGGGCTCAGTGTCATCATCTCTAAGTTGAGGTGGGAACAGGTGACTGCTTGGGTCCCTTCTGGCCATGGTATTCTGGGACTGTGGCTGGAGAGAGGTCTCGGGGATGCTGGCTTCAGGATTAGGAAAGGAATCCCCAGTGCCTGGGGGCTCAGCCCAGCAGAATCGGCACCTACCTGCATCCAGACCCACAGCAGGAGACAGAGGGATCTGGAGCCAGGTAGAGTGGAGGTGAGGGGCATGACAGGGAAAAGAGGCAGTGGAGACCCCCGTCCCCTGTGGTGGACAACAAGGGAGGTGAGGCTGGGTCAGTGGGGCATGGGGTGGGGCCCACGTGGACCTGGCAGAGCCAGGTGTCGAAGGGCCAGAGGGCACACACCGCACCAAAAGGTCAGGGGCTGCGCTGGAACCCTGTGGGTGGCTCTGAGCCGCAGGTGGGTGCACTGGGAGGCTGCGTGGCCTCGCCTTCCACTGTGGGTGCCCTAACTCTGCCTGCCCTGACGCTGCAGCCAAGGCTCGGTCAGCTGCCAGCCCGCGCGCTGCTCAGGGTCACAGGAGGAAGGGGCCACGGGGTCTGCAGGGGTGATGAGCTGACAGGTGGGGGGGTGGGCAGGGCCCTGGGCTCCTAGCTGGCTGGGTGCTGACCTGGACACAGGCCAAGTGGTGTTGCAAGGTGCCTTCAGGGCAGTGACAGCCCTCCTCGCAGCTATCGGAGAAGCAGCCCATCTGTTGTGTGACGTGCGCACAGGAGAAGGGGCATCCCCCGCCGGGCGGGCACTCGCGGTACAGACGGCCGGCCGGGCAGCCTGCCTCTGAGGCAGCACCGTGTCAGTGCCCAGCTCCAGCCCACTGCCCCGCTACCTATGCCCACCTTTTCTGTGGCCTGCTTTTTACTCCCAGTGCCCATCCTCCTGCCCTAGACAGTGCCCATCTGCCTGTCACAGGCTCCCCAACCACCCGGCTGTTTCCTCCTCTGCTTGCCCGTCACTGGCCGGGGAAAGGGCAGGTGCGGGGATGGGGAAGGAGAGGTCAAAAGGCGCCTGTCAGTTGGTCACCTGTGGCCTTGAGGTCAAAGGCCAAGATGGGAATCAAAGGTAAGTGGGAGTATCAAGGGCAGACGCTGGCTGGGCTCACCTCTGCAGACCTGGGTGCTGCAGGTGCGGCTTTGGCGGGCTGGCCCCGGGCAGGGCGGACGGGCGCAGCGCCGGGAGCGCAGCTGCTCCCCTCCCCCGCATGAAACACTGCAGGCCTCCCAGGGGCCCCAGGAGGTCCACATGCCAGGACCAGGGCAGCCCGGCATCTCCTGGCACTGCAGGATGCCTGCCACACAGGTGCTGGGAACAAGGGAGGGGGCTTCAGAGACAAGGCCTGGCCCACTCCCCTGAGGGCTCTGCAAGCCCCCTCCCCACTTCTATCGGCTTACCAGTTGTCACAAGGCCCAGTCACCACCTCTCCAGGTTCCAGGCTTTCCCAGGAACTGAGCCCAGACCCTGCTGACCGGCTCTGGTTCTCAGGGATCCCTGAGGGACACAGGAGTAGGGGTGAGGACCCTAGACAGCTCAGCACCCTGCACCGATCCCTCCTGCTCCCCCACTGCCTTCTATTCCTCTCATTGTCATCCTCCTCCCCATGGTGCCCTGTGTCCTGGACGAGGGAGATGAGAGCTCCAACCTGGGCCATGCAGGATGCGTGGGGATGTGTGAGGAGGCCGATGCAGGGGACACTAAGGCCCAGAGAACTAGAGGGGCCAGTTGCTTGTTCCCAGCCTGCAGCCCCAGGTTGGGCCCCATGGCCAGGGGCACAGGGGACAGGCAGGACAGCATTGCAGTACTTGTGGACTAGCGAAGGTGAGGGAGGCACTGACCTATGGCTCCAGGCTGGTACTGGCAGCGGCAGAGAGCTGGGGGCACACAGAGCCCATCCTGGAACAGCTGACTGGGGGGACACCCACAGCTGGGCTCGCAGCCTGTGGAGCCTGGCTGGCATACATTCCCGGGGGACAGGTCTTGGCAGGAGTGGGGGCAGGGCCGCCCACAAGGGAGCAGGCTTTGGCCACCTCCGCAGTCTACAGCAGGGGGTAAGCAGAGAGGACAGGTCCTGAGGGATGTCTAGCACTCAGGTGACAAGACCTCTGCCACACCCACCACCTGCTCAGACCTGCCACCTGTCCAGGTCCATGGGTGACTGACCTGAGGGCTGTCCCTCGCAGTGATATGTGTGTGGGGGTCAGAAGTCAGAGTTGACATCTCTTTAGACATACAAGGGCCCCCCCAGACCTCACCAAAGGTCTCACCTGTGCATTGGGTGGAGTTGTCCTGACAAGGGCGACTCTGCATGTGGCCTCCAGGGCAGGGCCTGCCTCCCTCAGAGGTGGGAGGCCGGCTGCATGCTCGGCTCCGAAGGGACTGCCCCAAGCATGCATCACAGGGAGACCACGGTCCCCATGGGCTCCAGGCTCCGTCCACTGTGGGAGAAAAAGAGAATCACCCACCTCAGGAGGCCCAGGAGACCCCAGGCTATCAGGGTTGGAGCAGACATTGGGGCCTGCAGCGGAAGGGGGCACCAAACCTGGGCACGGGGCAGGGCTGGGGCAGGGCTCCTTCTGATGCTGGGCGCCGGCCCCCCCAGCTTCCCCGGGGCATGGGGCGCCCCCATGCTCAGGAGCGGGGCAGGCGCAGGCCCTGGAGCGGGTCCTCATCTGACCCCGGCAGGGCTGGGAGCATGCTGTCCACTCCGACCACGGGCACCAGCCTCCAGGCACTGCGAAGAGAATGGTAGGCACTGGAGCGTAGCCTATCCACTCCCCAGTCCCAGGCCCCCTCTGTGACCAGGGCCACCTCTCACCTCCCTCCCAGCTGGGCACGTACCTGGGCAGGGCAGGTCCGTGCAGTTCAGCCTCCCCTCCAAGCAGGTGCTGGGCAGGGAGTGCAGACACGGGAGGAAGAGGCAGCAGCTCAGTCCTGCCCAGGGCCCCCCACACCCCGTCTTGGCTGCCTCTTACCTCCCCTCACCCCTGCACTCCCCGGTTCCCTTCAGGTCCCAGGTCTGTGCCCCCTCTTCCCGCTCTCCAGTTCCCTGGCCCACTTAGTTGGTGTGTTCTACTGGGGGATGACAGCAGGTGACCTGCAGATGACCGTGGGACTGTGGGAGCAGTGTCCTGCTGCTCCCGCCCAGCCCCTTCCTCCTCCTGAGCACAGGCACAGCCCTCAGCAGACACGTGGAGCTGCCCACCTCAGTTTCCCCACCTATCAGACAGGGGTCACGGCGCCTGCGCTGCATCTTTACGGGGACTGTGGGGGTCTAGTGGGCCGTCAGCTGAGACTCAGGTGCACAGCTGCCCCTGCTGGCACCCCTGCCTCCTGCCACGGCGGCCCCTCACCAGTGGTTGCAGCCGTCGGGCCTCGCCAGCAGAGTGCCCGGGCGGTGCCGCTCTCCGGTCAGCAGGTCCAGGCAGGTGCAGTGACCTGGCCGCACACACACGGCCCCGTCGGCACTCAGCACCTGGCCCGGGGGGCAGTAGCAGCCGGGCTCACAGCGCCACACGCAGTGCTGGGGGGACAGCAAGGGACAGCTCTGGTCAGTAGAATGTAGGGTCTGAGGGGCTGGGCGGGGGAGGCCAGAGAGGTCAGAGGCTTCGTGTTTTAAACACATTTATGCCTTGAAGCTCTGTGAAGAAAGGCAGGAAGGGGAACAACCGGCCGGCCCTGCGTTTCCTTTGGAGATGCGGAGTCCCTGGGGGAGGAGAGGAGGGAGGGCAGACTGACAGGGGTCCCCTGCAGCCCCGCAGAGGGGATCTGGAGACAACCGGGCGTCCTCCAATTGCAACACCTGGGATCCGAGGCACGCCCCACACCTAGAACTTAGGGAGCAGGGAACCCAGAAAGCTGGAGGGGTGAGGGAGGCAGTTGGAGAAGGAGCCCGGTACCTCCTCCTCGTCCTCCTCCCTGCCCGTGGCCGGGAGCCTCCCCTTCCCATGCCAAGGCCTCGCAGCACCACCTTATTCTTCTCAGCTCTTGTCCTGCTGTCCATGCTTTGGTTCATGTCTGTCTCCGTGGGGACAGGGACCCTGCCTGTGTTTGCCTCCATGTGTATCCACGGTGCCTGGGCGGACACTCGGTAAGTACTCACATGCACATCCCAAAATGCCCATGGCGTGTAAGATGATACAATGGGGGGACGTCCCCCTTCCTCTGTGTTTATGCTATTTTTGTACTAAAAGTTTTAGTGTGAGAAACGCTTGCTGTACTGAAGACACGGGCTGCTGGTTGAGGCGAACTCCCCCTGAACAAGACGGAGGGCCTGGTGTGCGCTGCCTGTGAGCTGAAGCCCAGCTGCCATGAGCCTAGAGCCACACCCTGCCCTCCCATAAGTGACCCTAGGGTCAGAGGTCAGGTGGAAGTGCAGAGGGAGCCGGACTCACCACTAGGTCATCACAGGAGCGAGGACAGGGGGGTCCGCAGGGGCTGTACTCGGCCCCTTCTATGGCAGTGCAGTTGGTCACTGGGGGGGAACGCAGGTAACAGGATGGGCTTAGAGCTGTGTGGGGCCACCCGCCTGGCCCATCTCCAGCTTCTCCTCCTCTGCTCCTGGACCCCACCCCTGTCCCCTGTCCCTGGAAAGTACCTGGGCAAGGCAGAGCCTGGCAGGCCTCCCCCTGGGCCCGAGGCCCCTCACAGTAATTCCCCAGTCCCTGGGGTGGGGGCTGGTCGCAGGCTCGGGTCCGGCTCCGCAGGCCTCCCCCACAGCTCCGGCTACAGCTGGACCAGGGCCCCCAAGGACCCCAGCCCCCAGCTCCTGGAGGACAGCAGAGGAAAGAGTGGGAGGGGCTTGGCTGAGGCTGGGGGCAGCCGGTGTCAGATGGTGGCCCAGTAGGTACCACTCCCACTCCACAAGAGGGGCCAGTCAGGCAGGGCCGGGTGCACACTCACGGTCACACCCTGGCAGGAGACACGGCTCCTCCTCAGCCTCCGGGCCTGGACAGACAGGCGTGGGCGTGGCTGGGGGGGACAGCAGAGCCACGCTGGATGGTGCCACGCTGGGGGCCCTGGCACAGAAGCGGTGTCGGTGGCGTCGGGCAGGGCCGCAGGAGGCTGAGCACTCACTCCACGGGGTCCAGGGTGACCATGTGGGCTGACCTGGGGGGTGCACAGGCCGGGGAGGGCAGGAAGAAGGTGGGCGTGCGCGGGCTGGAGAAGCCCACCCAGCACGGGCAGAGCCCCTTCTCCCTCCCCCCGCCCCGGAGTGCTCCCCCCAGCCTCAGCCCAGGCCCAGTGCTGCAGCCAAGGGAGGAGGGTGGGTGCATGTCACAAGCGGGGACCCCTCCTCACCCTCCTCACAAGGCAAAGAGCTGCAGTTGGTGATGAGCCCAGAGACACAGGAGCTGGAAAGGGAGCAGGAGAGGGTAGGGTGTCTTATGAGCTGCATTGTGTCCCCCCAAATCTATATGCTCAAGTCCTCACCCCCAGTACCTGTGAGTGTGACCTTATTTAAAGATAGGGTCTTTATGGAGGTGATCAAGTTAAAGTGAGATCACTAGGTGTCCTTATGAGAAAGGAAATATGGACACAGACAGGCCCAGGGGGAAGACACGGTGTCTACAAGCCCTGAAATGCCAATAATTGCAAACTGCAGAAGAGTGAGACCTGGGACAGGGTGTCCCCCACAGCCCTCAGAAGGAGTCAACCCTGCTGACACCTTGAGACAGAGACAAGTAGGGATGGGTGGAGGGAGAGGTGTGCACAGGTGCAGCCTCAGAGGGCCTGGGGAGGGGGCCTGTGACTCTGGGGCCAACTGGAGCCAACATCCCCCGCTGCTGGGGAGGGACAGCTGCACAGCTGGGTTCTCAGCGTCACAGGGCCACTGTGTGGCAGGGGCAGTGTCTTACCAGTTCTCACATGGCCGAAGCACAGCACTGCCCGGGGGATGGAGGCGGCCCCCGTGGGCGCAGGGGCAGTCCTGGGCGGCCACGCAGACGTTGTTCTGGAATCAAACGCTTCCATCATCTTCTGGTTTCTGGATGGGCCTGGCCTGCTCCCTCCCCAGTCAGAGCCAGCATCCAATTCCTCAGCCCCCCTCAGTGCCACCTACGCTCCTTCCCCAAACACACTACTCTCCCTGCTCCCCTCCCACCAGGCAAACGCAGACCGTCAGCTGCAGGGGCCGTCAGGGCATGGACCCCAATATCTGGGAGAAAAAGACGATCTTCAATTGCAGGACATGAGATCCCACATTTTCATCAAAAAAAAAAACAGAGAAAAATGATGTGCTCAGGGAGTTTGGACAAAAGTTGCTCTGTTTTAAAAGAAAGCACCACCTAGTAGCCCATGATTCAGTCAAATGTACTGAAGTTTATGGGCCAGGCTGTGGGAAGAAGTTTACCTCACCATCTTACTGACTTCTACTACTAAGTACATTATTGCCCCATTTTTACAAAGGAGGAAACTGAGGCATCAGAATACTCTGCCCAAGCCCACAGAGCTACCAGTAGAAGAGCCTGATTTGGACCCAGAACCAGCTAGAACTATCCCTTCGCCATACCCCGTGGTTCAACAGCGGCTCTGCAACCCTTCGTTCACATTCCACCATGTCCCACCCCCAGCTCCCACCACCCTCTGACTGCAGTGGCCGTCCCCCACCCTCCACGCCCTCCAATCTTTGCTGTTCAAGTCAGGACCACCTCCTCCAGGACGCCCTCCATGACTGACCCAGCCCACTCTACAATGGACAAATCTCCCTTCCCATCTATGTGATGGCTCTGTCTTCATTCTAGGGACTCTGGGTCTGGTTCCCTCAGACTGGATGCTTCTTGAGGGCAAAGCCTACTTTTCCCCCATGGCGTAGCCCAGCCCAAAACTGAGCATACAGTAGGCATTCATAGAGACCTTCTAGACCTATCACCATTTTACAAACTTGAAAACAGAGGTCCAGGGAGGGACGAATGAGACTGGCCCAGGGTCACCTGCTGGTTCCTGCTGGAGCTGAGCCATGACCCCTGAATGCAATGCTCTTTCCTCAAGTGCAGGGTTGTGCCTCTGCCAGGTCCCGCCAATCCCTTCCTTGCCACCTCAGGTCCCCAGGCCCCAAGAAGGTCTGGGGGGTGGCCACGCAGGGGGATGCTCACCAGCAGGAGCATCCCAGATGGGCAGTAGCAGCCAGGGTGGCAGGTCTGGTTAGTCCCTCTTGGAGCGCTGAGCTCTGCACAGGAGGCCGGGCCCTGGGCACAGTCTAGCCACCGCTTCCCCCTGGGACACATGCCAGGCACTGGCCCTGGGGACACAGAAATTGGCAGCCCAGTCCTTGCACATCCAGCTCTCCCTTGGGCTCCCAACCTGGGAGAGGCATCAGCTCTGGGTATGGCTGGGGTTGTCATGGGGCTTGCATGGGGGCTGAGGAACAGGGCTGGCTGTGGAGGCAGGGAGGGGTTAGACAGTGCACTGGGCTGGTGGGAACGAGAACTGGAGGGTTCCCAGGGCAGCCCTCACCTGCACAGGGCTGCAGGCCACAGGTGGAGAATTCCATGGGGCTGTGTAGGCCACTGCCTCGGGTGCGGTTCCTGTAGCCCCCGCCGCAGGGCACGGAGCACGGAGACCAGGGGCCCCACTCCCCACCAGGACCTGGGGGTGGTACCCAGGTCACTGCAGGCCATGCCTCCCATGCCCAGCACACCTCCTCCTCCTCCCTACAGACACCCCAGAGCACCCCTCTCTTCTCCTAGCTGCAGATCACGTCCCACCCTGGGAGATCCCACACCTGCAGCCTGGAACTGAGCTGGGAGGGTCTTTCTTAGGGAATGGACTTTCAGGGGTTTCAGGGGACCATCTCTTAGTGGAATGTCTTAGGGAACTCCTTGCACCTTTCAGGGGGTTCTGGGGGGGGGGAGAAGGGTGATGGGAGTATTCTTGGATTTTCTGGAAGTTCTTTAAGGAGGTCTCAGGACCTTGGTCCCAGCTCTCACCTCGACATGGTCGCAGGCTGCAGAATTCAGCCTCCATGTTGGGACCCTGGCACTCAGCACCCCCAAAGGCAGCTGGGGGTGCAGTGCCTGCTCGGAAGCGCCGCTGAATGCCCACATTGCAAGTGCGGCTGCAGAGACTCCATGGGGTCCAGGGACTCCAGCCACAGGCCACTGCCAGGGGGTGTGTATGAGAGGTGGGGAGGGCAGTATTTGTGAACCAGTCAAATCATCCTGGACCCCGACTTCTCCAGGCAGGAGGGAAGGACCACCAACCCTACCAGGAGTTATCTCTAAAAGGGCCCAAATCCATTATGGTCCCTGAGGACCCACCACTGCCCAATTCCCAGGCCCTGAGCACGGGGGTACCTGGGCACAGCTCCGAGGTGCACACCATCTCGCCGGAGATACAGGTGCTGCAGAGAGAGGGGCCGGTGAGGCCTGACCCAGCCCATCACGGCCACAGTGAGCCCTGTCCTGTGCAGCACTGTGTGCCTGTCCCCAGGGGAAGAAGCCGGGACCACTGTGCCCACCTCACAGAAGAGAAACCCGAGGGTCTGGGGAGTGAAGCGAGGTGCCCCATGTTCCACGCCAAGCTCATGATGTGCCCCAGGATTCTCAACCAGGGGTACCCCCAAGTGTCACCCTTGGAGAACTCTATGACGCCCCAGGCTCTGTGCTGCCCCTCTGTCCCACGGTTTCATCAGGAGTCACCTTTCTGTACCTATCATCCCATTTGTACTCACTGAACACTATTTGGAAATGACCTTGAGTAACAGGGCCAGGTAGGAGTGATTTAGAAAGAGCTAGAGTTCTCCTGGGAAGAACTGGGCACCTCCTTCACTTTTGGTTATTTTCATGATATGTTTTAAAGCCTATTTGTCAAATATTGGAAGCTCCAGAAAAAGAATCTAAGACAGGAAAAGTGAGAGAGAAAAGGGCGGGAGGGAGGAAGAATGAAGAAGGAGGGTGTTGAGGGAGGCGCCAGGGGATAGAAAAGAAAAAGGAAGAAAACCAAGAGTGAAGAAAAGGAAATGAGGCGGAGACAGAGAAAGGGAAACAAGGGGCCGGGCAGGGGCTTCGGGTGCCCTCTCCTGGCAGACGCTGGTGTCAGCTGCGCGTCTTGGATGCTTCCAGGTTCCCCGGCAGAAATCGAGCAGATCCCAGGTAGGGAATGACATTCAGGAAAGAGAAGCACAGGAAACTGGGAGGAGAGGTTAGATGCCCTCTCCAGTCTCTAGTTCCATCATAAATCGCTCCGCCTATCTGAGACCCAGTCTTCCCATAAGTCAAATGGGGACGACCATTCCTTACACACACCCACCGAGGCCAGGAGTGTCTCCCTCACTGTGGTACTCCTGGGGCCCCTGCCTCGCACCTGAGGCTGCTCTGACGTTTGGGGAATGGAGGCGTGATGAAGTCCCAGGTGTGTGTGTGTGTGTCCATGTCAGCTCACTCTGGAGTCGCCCAGCCCCACCCCTCCCGCCCCCACGCTGTGTCCTACCAGTTGTTGCAGGAGTCCAGGAGAGCCATTGCTCCCGGCGCGTGGAGCTGCCCGTGCAGCTGGCAGGGGCACTGGCTGCGGGGCAGGCAGCTCGCGTTGTGCAGGAAGAGGCCTGGGGGGCAGGTACAGCCGGGGGCACAGAAGCCTGTGCACTCCACCCCAGAGCTCTGCGACAGGCACAGCCGAGGACATGGGCCCCCCTCCTGGCGACACTGTTCTGCTGAGCGGAACACCATGTTTCCTGGGCACTGGGCTGGATGGAAAGACAGAGTGGGTCTCACAGGGGCAGGAGGGAAGGGAAGGGAGACCCAGGGGTGGAGGGGAGCTGCAGCTGAGACTGAGGAAGCCCCCTCCTGCTCCCGCACCCTGCAGGCTTGCTCCAGTGTCTGGAACGTCACCAGGAAAGAGTCATGGCTTTGCTCCACTTTAATGTGAGTATTGTTGAGGGCAGACCATGAGGACGGCAGTCATCCGGGCTAGGAGGAGGGCTCAAAGGACAAGCGAGAGAGAGGAAGGGCTGGGGCTTCTAGGCTGGGAGTAGGTTCTGTCTGAAGTGGGGCCAGGCTGACCTCTCGGGAGCCTGCCCACCAGCAGGGAGGAGAAAAGAGCCTGAGCCTTGGCCACAGTGGATGCCTGGTCCCCAGCGGGTGGGAGAGGGGGGAGCTGGAGGGGATGTGGGAATCCACAGTCTCCCTTAGTCAGGGCACCGTCCTGAAGTCACCGATGTGCGAAGGTGGGGAAGGGGAAGAGGTCAAAAGCGCCAGGAGCTGGGCTGGACACAGCCAGCTGGAGAATGGGGAGGGAATTCGGTACCTGTGCAGGGCTGCGTGTTGCAGTCCCTGGTCTGACTGTGGGGTCCCTGGCACGTGGAGTTCCCGGGAGCCGAGCCCGAGCAGCTGCGGCCACGTGTCTGGATGCCTCCGTCACAGGGGGCTGAGCAGGTAGACCAGGGAGCCCACAGCCCCCAGACGCTTGGACCTGCAGGAACAGCGAGGCCACGGTCACAGACACGGGCATGTGGGGGGGCTGAGGGGGGTGTTGGAGGGGCCAGGGCTGTGTGGCATGCAGCCCCCACCAACATCCACACCTCTAGGTCTGTCCCAAACACTGCTGCAGGCCAGGCCCACACTGCCAATCACGGGTGGCTTCCTCCAGCCAGGTTTGCTCTGACCCCTCTGCCCCGCCCCTCCAGGTGTTTGGAATCTGCTCACGGGGTCATTCTTCTGTGCTCCTCCCTGTGCCTGGGCCACACCAGAGAGGGAGGGGGTATACCTGGGCATACAGGGGGGTTGCAGAGCTCTTCCTGGGTGGCTTCTCCTGGGCAGGATGTGTCCCCGGGGATGGGGCAGAGCCGGGAACGACGGCGCCAGCCCGGGCCCCCTCCAGGGGAGAGGCAGCTCTGGGAACAGGAGGACCAGGACGTCCAGGGAGTCCAGCCCAGAGCCTCTGGAGGGGGATATAGGACAGGCCTATTGCACAGGGGCCCAGGCAGGGATGCGGAGGGTTGGGGAGCCTGTGTCAGGTCTGAGAAGCTGGTAGGGTGGGGTCAGGGAATGGCTCATGAGGGTGGGGAATGGCTGCTCACAGTATGTGGCCTCTGTCCCCTCCCAGCTCCTTGGGATCCCTACTGTCCAGGCCACTTCTCACGCTCAGGAACCAGGATCAGAGCCTCCTGCTGAACCTGGCCCCAGCTCCATTCCACACCCCGGCCGGCACCCTGCCATGGCCACCACCCAGGCTCACACTTCCCCCAGATCAACTCTTCCAGATCCTTCTATTCCGGAAACCTCAGAGTCCTTGCAGACACCTGTCAAAGCTACTCGCCACTGGCCCCTCCTTCCCTCCTAGGCAAGAGCCTGGCCCTGACCCCCGGACCTCCCCCTTCCTCCTCCTCTTCCTCCTCCCTCTTTCTCTTTCATGCCATCTGCGCTGCACACCAGCGATGCTTGGCCTGCTCTGCAGAGACCCCCGCTGCACGCTGCACTGGAAAGAGAGAAACTGTCTGGCACCGTCGACTGTCCTCTAGGTGCTCCTGCCCACCTCCCTGAGCTCGGCACACAGTCAGCCCAGCAGGGGCGGCTACCTGCCCCCTCAGGCCAGCCCGCTCGTGGCTGTGCATGGGAGTCTCTGTCCCTGCCCCTGCCGCATCACAGCCCCACCACCAAGGCCAGTTCGAGGGCTGCTTCTCGGACTGCGCAGGCTTCGCTGACCACCCATCCAGAGTTGCCGGCGGGTCCCATCCTGCTGTGTTCCCAGGGGGATGGGAGAATTGGGAGGAGGCAGGCAGCTCCTGTGTCCGGGCTCCTGGCCGTACCTGTCCCACACTCTGTGTGGCAGACCTGCAGTTCCTGCCTGTCACCTTCACATGGGGCACCCCCGGAAGCTGCCGGAGGGTTGGAGGGAGACCTGGGGAGAGAGGCAGCCCTGGGCACCTGCCTTCCTCTCTCCCTGCTCTTACTCCCCCTTCTTGGTCTTCCTGTCTCTGTCCCCCACCCTCCCCCTACCAGGGCAGGCCCGGCTCTGAACCCCTCTTTCTCCCATTTCCTTCCCCCAGCACACCTGAACCTGGCCCTCATGCCAGAGCCACAGGAGCGGTCACAGGGGGCCCAGAAGGACCAGGCTGACCAGCCGCAGGGCAGCGGGCAGCCCCCCGGTTCGCACAGCAGCGCCCCCTTCTCACACATGCTGCAGGGAAGGGAGAGGCTGAGGAGCTGCTTAGGACTGGGGAGGCCCCGGGCACAGGGTCCTGCCCACGGCAAGCCGCCCTCACCATCGGCTGCAGTTGTCCAGGAGGAAAGACACCCCTGGCTGCTTCAGCTCTTCACCCACGAGGCAGGGGCACTCGGAGAGGGGCAGGCAGCGAGTGTCATGGAGAAGCAGCCCCGAGGGACAGCGGCATCCTGGGGGTGTGGGGCAGGAGGTCACTCAGCCCCTGGGGGGCAGCAGGCAAGGCTGAGGGCTGGTGGGCCTGGCTGGCACCCCGTGCTTCCCCAGCTGGGTCTGCTCACCCTCCACACAGTGCCCATCACAGCTTCTGTTGGCCTCGGGGTCCAGGCAGGAGGGTGGGCATGGGGGCACTAGCCCCTTCTGGCACAGCTCAGCACTCACATGCACACGGCCCATCCCACAGTCTGGTGGGAGACGGGCACCAGCTGGAGTGGGCACCAGGAGACCCAGAGACCTGCCCCACCCCCGCACGCCCCCAGAGCTCATCTCGGGATGCCCCTGCTCCCAGCCCAGCTCCCCCTTACCTGTGCCACCTGTGCAGGGCTGCAAGCCACAGGGTGCCCTCTCCTGGGAGGCCCCAGGGCAGGGAGCACCACCATTCTTGGGTGGGGGGTCCACACAGCTCCTCCGGCGACTCTGATGGCCACCTCCACAAGAGACGCTGCAGGGTCCCCAGGCCTCCCACGTGGCCCACGCCCCAGCCACTGTGGGGGAAGGAAGAATGCGGGTCGACCCAGAGGAGCCCATGGAGACAGACTGTGTTAGAGAGAGCAGGGCGGGCAGTGGCAGGGGTTCCCTCCCCTCTGGGCCTGGGCAGTGGCCAGCCAGGCAGCCGAGGACAGTGCTCTGGGGGCTCTGCAGCTTCTGCTTCTGTCCCGGGACACCTCCCATGGGTGGGGGTAGCTGGGGAAAGATCTCTAGGTGCCTCCCAGGATAAAGGGACACTCTGATCCCTGGAAAAGGGCTGGGACTGTGAGAATCCTGGGGCGGGGCACTCCCTGGTGGCAGCAGGTAGAACTAGGATGACCAAAGCCAGGGTACGGAGCCACGTGTGGGGGCTGAGGAGACCACGGTGTGGAAAGCCCCCTCTGGAATGCACAGAGGCGGGCCTGGAGCCCAGTGACAAGTAACATGGGCAGCGGACAGCTGGGGGCTGGCTCCAAACACCCTCAAACACCATCTCCCTTAATCCTCGTGCGCACCTTCCGAGGTGGGAATGACAGCGCCTCCCCGTGTACACGCGTGGCACAAGGAACCTGAGGCTCACGGGTTAAGAGACTTACTAGAGGCCACTCAGGCAGGAAAAGAGGGGCAGGGCTGGGAGCAGCTTTCCTGACCAGCCTTTGGGGATTCAAGGCTGTGACACCAGAAGGTCACTGTCCTTCTAGAGTCTCATAGTGGGAGGCTGGACACTGGGGACCTCAAAGGAGAGCAGGGGGCACTTCCCTGGTGAGGGTCTTGGATGGGACATGTGCTCCAGGTTTCCCACCTGAAGGAGCCTGAGGAGGCCTGAGGGGCCCATCCCCACCTCCCTTGGGAGCCGGGGCTGTCTTGCGGGGTGGCCGGGGTGCCGGCTGACCTGGGCAGGCCTGCACGAAGCAGGACTGGCTACGGAGCCGGTCAGGTGGGCAGCTGCCCCCCGGCAGGGGAGGCCGCCGCAGCCCCCGGCGCTGGAAGGCGAGGCCCAGGCCACAGCTGTGGCTGCAGCCGCTCCAGCCGGTCCAGGGCGCCAGCACGCAGTCCACTGCAGGGGGACAGGTGGGCCAGGGCTCAGAGCAGCTCACACAGGAGCAGGGCCCTCGGGGCTGCCCTGCCAGCTGCACATACCACAACCATCCTCGTCGGAGCCGTCCTGGCAGTCGGGCCGCAGGTCGCAGCGCCGCTCAGCGGGCAGGCACTCTCCGCTGCCGCAGCTCAGCTGGCTCAGGGAGCAGAGGGCTCGCGAGGTGGGCAGCCCAGGCAGGGCCGTGGTGGGCACCATGAAGGGCACAGTGCTCGCTGCCCAGGAGCGGGGGAGCTACATAAGTGATTCCTGGCCGAACGACAAACTGAGCCCTTCACCCTCAGGCCCAGGGCGGACCAGAGCCTGCCCACGCCTCCTGCCGCCCAGGCTCGGAGCAGCTTCCTTCCACTACGTGCGGGTGAGGCCGCAGGGCCTTTCCTCTACACAGGCTCTCACACCATCTCTCTAGTTGTCAAAAGACCTTGGGGTGTCCAGAGAGAGGTCAGAGCATCTGGAAGAGCAGTTCAGTCCCTCGAGTGCCCCTGTCTGTGACTGGCTGACACCTGGTTTCTCTCCTCCTGACTGGAAGGCCAGCTTTTGATTACAGTGATCTACTTGGTCTGAATGGACAGATGGGTATACGGCTGGATGGAAGGATGGATGGATGGACAGACAGATGAATGGAAGGAAGGATGGATGGATGGATGGGTGAGTGGGTGATGGGCAGATGGGCGGATAAATGGATGGATGCACACACGGATGGACGGATGGATAAATGACGGGTGGGTGGACGGAAGAATGAATGAATGGGCAGACGGTAGATGGGCAGGTGGGTGGGTGGGCGGATGAACAGACGGACAGGCAGTGTCTCCTCAAGTTCAGACAGGTTATATAAAACAGGCTGGGGCCCGGGCCTACCCGGCTGCCCTCTTCACCATTCCGAGAGACACACACGTTCCTGGTTGTTCTGACATCTTCGGTTTCTCTCCACTCCCTGCTGCCCCAAGCCTCTCCCAGGTCCTTCCCACATGAGCTGGAAAGGTGGGACTTCCCCAAACCTAATGCCCTCTTGCCATCCCCACCCATGTGACACCAGACTCTCGAGGGAGCACAGGGGACCCCACGCTCACCGCAGCGCCTCTCGTCGGAGCCGTCAGGGCAGTGCTCCCTCCCGTCGCACAGCTGCTCCTGCTCCACGCAGCCCAGCGCCTCGCACGGCCACTGGCCTGGGCTGCACTGCACTGGCGGGAAGGGCCCTGGGGCGACACTCTGGCCTGTGGGCATCACCAGAGCCAGCTGACCGGGACCCAGCCCACCCTGTCCTCCCTTCCTTGTCACCTCCCAGCAGTCCCCAACCTCCCTCTTCTTGGCATCTGGTGCGCCCCACCTTCTGCCTCTCTTGGGATAATGGACAAGGAGTGAACTGGGTCAGGGGGCTTGGGTCCTAGGCCTGGCCCTACCGAAATGACCCTGAGTTGTGTGACCCTGAGCAACGCTGCCAACCTCCCAGGGCCTCTGTCCTCCTCCCAGGGAAGTTGATGGGCTCACACAGGCTTTGCACACAGGCACAAGGGGTCAGAATCTTACCAGTGGGGGTCCCCGGAGTCACTGGGTGTGGGGGGAGCACCGTCATGGCTGCCATTCCTGGTTGCAGGGTTTTGGCCTCCGGCTGGGAGGTGGGGATGATGGTCACCGTCTGCACAGATTCCCCAGAACTCGGGTGAGGAGCCTCAGAGGCTGGGACAGGACTCACTGGCCTTTTCTCTGTGGTGCAGGAGGGAAAGGTGAGGCCCACCCAGCTCCCCTTCCCATGACAGGAAGCAACGCGGGCCCTCCAGAGGGAATCCCAAGCTTCTGGGTGGTGCAGGGCAAACACAGGTACCACAGGCTTCATCCCACCTTCCCAGGGACCTCAGATCAAAGAGGAAGTGGGATTTGGTAGTCCAAGGAGCATAAGAAGGGTTTTAACTGAACATAGAAGGAAACTTAGTTTTGATCAGAGGTTTGTACCCTATTCTCAAGAAGACACATATGGCAACTCCCAAGCTCAAACTCACTGAAAAATAAAACATTTAGGGAGACAAAGGACTGAGGTCATTTAAACACAGCAGCAGAAGGAGCAAACACTACCAGAGACCCAGGACGAGCCCACTGCTACTGCTGTATAAAATAACTGGTTATGAGCTTGTTGGCAGCTACAGTGAAAAGGGTGTTGAGTCTTTTTCTGGCAAGAGATTAATTTCTAAAGAATCTTTTTCTAGAATTGGGCTTAAAATAAGATTAGAATTCATCCCGTGCTTCTACGTGTTGGGAACCTGAGGAGGGTATAAGTTGCTTCATCTGCTTCTCACAAAAGGCATAAAAAACAGTCCAGCCAGGCTCCCAAATAACTTCCATCAGAACTCACAGGGAGGGACATAGTGGTCATCTGTAAGCCCTTCTAGTCTCACAGATGGGGAAACTAAGGTCCAGGCAGGTGGCGTGGTGTGCCCAACATCTCGCAGGGGAGGACAGAGCCAGGACAAACCCGCTGCCCTGATGGCCCCCCCTCCCTTCCTCTCCGGCCACCTCTCTATGGGGAAAGTGCAGGTGGATGATCAGGTAGCCCCAGGAGGCTGGTCCATGACCAGGCAGGGAGCAGCTTCCTAGAGCTCCCGCCCATCACCGTGCCCACCCAGAGGCAGCAAGTGCTTCAGGAAGGGGTGCTGGCACATGAACAGGTCGGCAGAGGGAGCGCAGCGGGGGCCAGGTGGCCTCCCACCCCCATGAGGAGACATCCACACTGCAGGGCACAGGTTCAGCCCTGGGAGCCAGCCTGGAGCCTCCCCACCACTGACCCATGGTCCTCACATCCTGGGATTCCAGAGAGTGGGCAGAGGCAGGACCTGGCTCTGTCCAAGGTGATGACCAGTGTCTCCCTCCCTGAGCCTTTCGGTTGGGGGGATGTCAAGGGTCAGGGGATTTGAACCTCTGAGATGTAACTGCCCCTTGCTCTGGTAGGGCAGGTGGGGATGGGGTTATGGGGACAGGGCTAGAGTTTGTGCACATACCTGTGTGGGGCACAGGTGACACCTGGCCAGGATGCCAGTGCTCAGTCTCTGCCAGACCCTGCAAAGGGAGAGGGCTCAGCCACCCCTGGAGCCCCGGCCCCGAAGGCAGCTCCACACACCTGTCCAGGCCCCAAGCCTCTCATTCCCATGGAGGAGCAGCTCAGGTGCCCACAGTCCCAGCACAACTCCCAGCTCCATCGTCCGTCTGCCTTCCCACCAAGCTCAGGGAAGACTTCTGACTTCTCTGCAAGTGAGGTGTGCTGCCCCCTCTGCGTGGGGCGCCCCTGCGCTGGCACACTGCCCTTAAGGAGCTCAAGGGCCCCTACTCGCCCTGGCCCACCATTGTGATCCACTTCAATTCCTGTCCCTCAAGCTCCCCAGCACACGCATGTGCACAGACACACAAGTACACACAAACGTACACACACGCACATGCACGCACACACACGTATACACAAACGTACACACACGTACATGCAAACGTACACACGCACACACAAACGTACACACACATGCACACACTTGTACACACGTACACACATGCACACACATGCACGCGTGCGCACATGCGTACACACACAGAGAGACACACGCACACACATACTCTCTGGGCTCCTGGCCAGGCTGCTCCCCAGTGGGAAAGTGCCCGCGCCTGCCCCCCCCCGCCCCCACATTACAGACACTCTTCTCCCATCCTTCAGGCCTTGTCCAGGAAACCTCTGTGGGCCCCAGGGCACAGAGCTCTTCTCGGCTCTGAGTGTCAGATGTCCTGGCACCTGCCCCGGGGGCATAACCTCCCTACCAGGGCACAGGCCTCTGTCCCCCAAACTCCTCTGGGCATGCACTCTGCCCTGAAGGACTGGCACTGACAGACTGACTGACAGAAAGCAGCACCAGGCACACACATGGAGAAGGGGTGGGAGCTGGCAGGGGCAAAGGCAGGGCTGGCAGGCAGGGAGCCTGGCTCCCGTCCCCTACACTACCACACCCCCCACTGGGCCCACAGTGCCCACTCACCTTCTGGGGCTGTGGGGGCAGCTGTCCGGGCTGGGTGGAGGAGAGGGGCGGGGTTCTGGCTGTGGAAAGGACACTGGGAAGAAAAATAACCAAGGGGGCTTCAGAGACTCTTCCAGCTTCCTGGCCCCCATCCAGGTGGGGGGTCAGTGTTCTCTGAGCTAGGCCTAGGGCGTGTGCTGGGCTGGGGCTGGACAATGGTGATGCTCTAAACAGTGGTTCTCAACTTGATCATGGGTTAAGTTCACCCAGAGGGCTTGTAAAAGTCACATTGCTGGACACTGCCCCTGCTAGGGCAGGGCCTGAGAATCTGCATTTCTAACAAGTTCCAGGTGATGCTGCTGTCCGGGGACCTCACACTTGGAGAACCACTGAACTCTATCAGACTCTATGATAAAGGCTCTGAATCCTAAGACCCCATGGCAGAGGGGCCTCGAAGGCACCCAGCTGTGCTTCCCAGCACTAAGGGTCCATGGGCACGGGGTGGGGGAGGGGGTGAAGCCACCTCCCATGTGGCTGTCCCCTGCAAGGCTAAGCCTACAGTGCGAGCTGGACAGCGGGCCACAACATACCTGCCAGTACCCCTGGGAAGGGGCACACATCCCTCCTCGTCAGAGCCATCCTTGCAGTCTGCAACACCATCACACAGGCCCCCTCTGGGGACACACTCGCCATTGGAGCAGCGGTGCCCGGCCCCTTGGCATCGGGGCGCTGGTGGGGACACTGTGGGGGGTGTATTGCTTGAGGGCTCCAGCCATCACCCCTTCCCATGCCCTCCCCTCCCTCCCCCAGCTCAGCCTTTACCTGGCTCACAGCCCAGCAGATCTACCCACAGGAAGACACTGCGGTGGACATCACTCTGGTGGCCAGCATGGGGCCACACCCTGACGTGCCTCGCCTGCACCATCTGGCTAAATGTGTGTACCTCGGGGGCCACATCATCCCATTTCCCAGGGAAGAGCTGCCAGCAAACGGTGCCAGTTAGTAAGTCCCACATCTTGTTCAGGCTGCCACCATAATCCTGCCGAGTGCCCCCTCCTCTCTGCCCATCCCAGTCCCCCAATCCTCAGAGCACGGACCCTGCCCCTGCCAGAGCTTGTGCCCTCCCATCAGTGGCCATCTGGGTCTGTAGAGGCTGCGGGGTGTCTGGTCCTGGCCTAAGCTTCTCCATTGGGCTGGTGGCACCCCGAGGGCAGGGCCAAGCCCTGCTCACCGCTGTGTCCCCAGGGCCTGGCACATAGCAGGTGCTCCTTAAATAGCTGAGAGTCAACACATGGTGTGGACTGATTCCTACTGTTTCACGGGGCTTCTCTCCCCAGATAGGTGCAAAATCCAGGAGGCCAGGGCTGGGCCAGGCTGCTCTCCACATGGGCCTGTGTGGGTCTGGGCTCCTCATGCCCTCTGTGACATTGATGTGTCCGCACCCCTCCCTCTGCAGGCTGCTACAGAGCTTCGCGTATCTACCCTGCATCTTGGATGGTTTCCAACACCCATTTGACAGACAAGCCGTCCACTCCACAGAGCACGGTCCCTGCTACTTACCAGGTATTGAACAAGCAATCTAATGCAGGGAATGTCCCTTGGGGAGACTGAAAGGCCCTTGAGGACAAAGAATGAGGGACCCACAGAGGAATATGGTGGGTTACTGGCCCAGGGGACCTTGGGCAGGTGGTACCTGGGGCAGGGGCAAGATGCTAGGCAGGACGTCACCATAGTCGTGCCAGTGTAGACCATCACTGCTGAACTGCAGTGAGAAGCTGGTGACAGAAGCATGGGAGGAATCAGCTCCCTGCACTACGATGCCTGGGAAGGGGCAGAGCGAGGTCAGGGGTCAGTGCTGAAGGAGCCACTCACCCCAACCCACCATCACTTCCCCCTCCTCCAGGCTCCCTGCTGACCAGTTAGGTTGCGGGGCCACAGCAGGTCCAGCTGCAGGTAGAGGGGTTGGGTGTGCCACTCAGCGTAAGCATCCTCTCCAGGGCTCCCTCCCTGAAAACCAGGCCCCTCGGTGGGAGCCCCCAGGAGGGCAGCCCAGGGCGGGTGCTCCAGCTGCTGCGACGATGCACGCTGGCTCCCCCTAGGCAGTTGGGCCAGGCCCAGGGGCGAGTAGCAGGGGTCTAAGTGCAGAAGAGAGAGAGTGGCTGGGGCAGGGGAGGACAGAGGGTGGCGGGAACCTGCTGGGGGCACAGTTAGGAAACTACAAGGGGAGCTGGGGATTTGAAGGGCCCACAGAGTTGACCTGGCCCAGGACAGAAGGGTGGCCCAGGGAGGGCAGAGTTAGGGGAGGCAACTTAAAGCGGGATGACTTCCAGATCCTCAGGATAACCACACACTGCACGGAAAGCAAGGGGTATGTCCCAGTGGCCCTGTTTCCCCCCAGTGTGGGCAACCCCTGGGCAATATGTCTCCTTCTCAGCATCCACTACAGAAGCACGTGGCCCTTACCTCCCAGTGGAGGCAGAACATAGGTGGCCAGAGGGGGTCCGATCTGGGGTCTGGGGGGTGGAGTTGGGGTGGGAATGGCCATGGTGTGGACTGTCTGGTTCTCTCCTGTGTAAGGAGACACAAGGGTCGGGAGGGAGAGGCTGAGAGGGGCTCATGCCAGTCCCTGGCCCAGCACTTGGGCCTCTCGCCACTTCTTGGAGCACTTTCTTCCCCATGACTTCCCAGGAACCACCCCCACCCCTCCCCCCCCGCAGCTGGGAAAGATCCCTTCCCGTGGTATGAATTGGGGTTTTTCACTTTTACTGAATATTCAGAGAACATAGAATAAAACTACTAGTCTGAAGTCACTTTAGGATGAGGATCGAGCAGCTGCAGTTCCTATTCCAGGCTGCTGTCTCTAAGGGCACCTCTGGGCATTAGGAGGGGCTGCCTCTGGATGGGGGTGGACCTGCAGGCTGGAGTCTGCCCCCTCCTCACCAGCTAACCTGTGCAGTGAGCAACCTGCACAACTGTGCATGCTGGCTCTGTCTCAACCTCAGCGCCCCACCCTGTGAGGCACTTTTAGGATATGTCAGTTTTCGAGGCTTTGTATTTTTCTGCTTCATTTATAACTCATTTTCAGTAAAGATGCTCTCTAAAAAGTCCAACTTTGTCTTGGCTGTTCTGAGGGGAACAGGGTAGTAACCAGATCTGCCCAGCAGAACCAGAGAAAAAGTGTATGCTCCAGGTGGCACTGTGGGGGAGGCAGAAAGCCTCAAAAAGACAGGGGAGGCAGGCAGAGAGGGCAGGCAGAGAGAAGCCCTCCCACCCGGAGGGGCCCTTCCTTCCCCCAGCATCTGGGACCCAGGCTTCCCACCACCCCGAGGTTGGGGTATCCAGCTGCCCCCTCACTTGGTGCTGCCACCCCTGGCTCCCTGAGTCCCCACCAGATCCTCCTCCCCTCAGGGCTCCTCTGCCATCCCCCAGACCCACTCACCAGGCAGGGCACAGTGACAACAAGATGCTCCCATTCCTTCCACCAGGACCCAACCCTGTGGGGGCACAGAAGTCAGGCCACCTGCCTCCCTCCCACCCACTCCATCAGCCTCCCCTAACCCTGTCCTCTACACACCCCTCACCTGGGGGCAGCTGCCCAGCGGGCAGTAGGGGGAGCAGTGCGTGGTGCGGTTGTGCAGACACTGGCACACGCTGCAGGGGCCCCCGCGCCAGCGCGCCCCAACGCGGCGGCCCCGGCCCTGCTGCTCACACCCCTCACAGGGCTCTGTCTGGCACCTGGGAAGAAAAGAGGCATCCCTGATCTGGTGAGGAGGCTCACCTAAGGTGACCAACCCTCCTGGTTTGCCTGGATTGAGGGGATTCCTGAGATTTGGGATTTCAGTGATAGAAGAGGGAAAGACCTAGGCAATCTGGGACATTTGACCGTCCTATCACCCCCACTCCACACCAGCACCTGAGAAATTGCAACTTCCCTAAAAAAGGGGCAAGGAAGCAATTTGTGCCAGCACCGCTGGCCAGTGCTGCCAGTCCAGAAGGGGCCAGGCAGGCAGATATGGCTGCACCCCCTACAGGCCTCACCCCCTACCAGCCTCACCCCAGGTACCTATAGAGGCACAGGGGGCAAGCCAGAGGGCCCACTCCAACCCCTGGGTTTGTTCAGCTGCATTTGTGGGCTCAACTGACCCCCCTTTTGGATCTAGAGGGCATAAAATTAAAGTAGGAGAAGGCCAGGGACCCCAAAGATGTGCTGGGAGTCCTGGGGGTTAGACTGGTTGGAGCACAGAGCAGGGGTTCCTAACTTGGGACCAGTGGTGGATGTGGACGTAGCCATCATGGGAAGGGGCACACAGGAAGCTTCCCACGTGGGAGGCAGGAGTGAGGGTCAGGGTTCTTGCAGGTCCCTGGGGTGGGAGGGCACAGAGTACCTGCGGGCCTTGCGGTGGATGCCGCGGCACTGGCGACCTCGGCCTGAGGGGCGGGGGTTGTTGGGGCTCCGGAAGGACCACTGGATGCTCTGGCTGTCACAGGGGCCCAGACATTCAGCCCAGGGGGACCAGGATGACCAGCCACAGTTCACTGAGACAGGGCCAAGAGTCAGGAGCTGGGTCCTCAGGGTGGGGAGCACCCAGAGGCAGGGCCAAGAAGAGGGGGTGGGTGCCCAGCTGGCTGGTCAGGAAAGGGGACTTGGGACCCCAAGGGAAGGGCCAGTATGGGACCTCACCAGCACAATCGGGGTTAGGCCGGCAGCGCCGGGGCCGCCCATCCTGACAGATGCAGAGCCGGCAGTCAGCCTTGATGCTCTGCCCAGGCCAGTAGCGGGTGCCGTCCACCAGGCAGGGGCACTGCCGGGGCCATACACACCGCCCCTCGCTGCCCAGCACCTGCCCTTCTGGGCACCAGCAGCCTACAGAAGACCCAGTGTGAGGCTCATGCCAAGCTCGGCCTCTGCATACCCAAAGCCCAGAGCCAGCCCTTGGGCCCAGAGCCCCCTTACCTGGGCTGCTGCAGGGCCGGTCAGGTGGGCACATGGTCTGGCCAGAGATGTCATCACAGGTCAAAGGGCAGGGAGCACAGGACCGGAACACCAGCTCCCCGGAGCAGTTGGCATTGGGACAGCTGTCCTGAGGGCAGGGCTCTAAGAAAAAGCCAGAACTGGAGGTCACATGTTCGGGAGAGTTGGGGAGGGGGGAGGGTTCGGGAGGGTGGGGAGGGACAAGGAGGGTGGGGAGGGTGGACCAGCCTCCCAGCCTCCCAGCACCAGCCCCTCCACTCCCCGACCTGTGCCTTCTCCCTTCCACTCACTGCTTTGGTGGGTGCTGTGAGGGCCCCCAGGCAGCACAGCACAACTCCTGCCCTCATTTTGGGGTGGGTGGCACTGCCGATGTCGCATCATGGCACCCCCGCACGACTCGGAGCAAAGAGACCAGGGAGACCAAGGGCTCCATTCACCGTCCACTGTGAGGTGGAGGGACAGGGCAGGCAGGGGTGGACGCTGAGGTAGGGTTGGGGGTCTGGGAGCCTTGTCCTCCCCTCCTCTCCCCAGGCCCCACCAGCCCCGCCCCTCCGTGCTGCCCCAGGCCCCTCACCTGGGCAGGCCAGGGCAAAGCAGGCCTGAGACTGGTGTTCGGGGCCCTGGCAGTGCTGCAGCACCCACAGACTGGGTGGGGAGCAGCGGCGGTTCCGGCCCTGCACCCCGGTCCCACATGTCCGGCTGCACGGCCCCCACGGGCTCCAGGGGCCCCACGCCCCACAACCCTGCTCTTCTGGGGAGGGCCCTGCCTCTGCTGCAGATGCACAGTCGGGCTGCCCGTCACACACCTGGGGAGGGAATGGGGTCAAGGCTCCCTTTGTGCTGGGTGGCACAACAGCTCTGCCTTCTCCAGCACCCATCCCCACCCTCACCAGCTGGAAACTGATGCAGATGCCGTCAGGGCAGGAGTATTCTGGGCAGGGAACTCCTGTCCTGTTAGGGCCTCCTGGGGCAGGCAGCCCCTCTGGGAAAAAAGAGAGAAAACACAGTTGGCAGAGAGTGAAAGCCACCCTCTGTGCTCACATCAGCTGCCGCCCCCATCAAAACAAAGTGTCCATACCACAGCCCAGCTCATCCTCGCCCTGGGGACAGTCAGGGACCCCATCGCAGAGCCGCTGAAGGTTCAGGCACAGCTGGGGAGCCAGACCACAGCGGAAGAGGCCATGGCATGGAGGCAGCTGGGTAGAGCCTGTGGGCACCATGAGAAGCGTCCTGCTGTGCTCCTGGCCCTCCTGCCCCCTCCCTACAGGGGAAGCCAAAGGCACCGGAGGGCAGAAGAGCCAACACAGGGCCAGCAGCCGCCCACAGAACCCTTTGGGAGGGTCTGGGAGGGGCAGGCAGGCCTGGGTAGGAGTCTGGGTCTGTGGGTAGCACCCCTCTCTGGGGAAGGTAACCAGAACCGTAGTAGGGCTGACCCGCAGGGGCACAAAGAGTTCCACCTCGGTCTGGTGGGGAGAAGCTGGGGCGGGCGGGGGGCCCTCCAAACAGACTCACTCCCCGCTGCCCCCTCGTCCCCCTTTTTGTCCAACTATAGGCAAAGACAAAAGCCCCTTTCCTCTCTCCCCGGGGCCTGGGTGGGAAGGCAAAAAGTTTTCAAAAAAGTTTCATGCAAAAGAACAGACTAGTACAAAAGTCACTCTAGCTGCGGGCCACGCGTGCCCAGGAGGCGACGATGGGGGGCACTTTGGGGAGACGGGCGTAGCCTGCTCGGCCAAGGGGCCTGCGCAGGTGCGGGCGCGGGGCTCTCACCGCAGGCGTCGGGGCCCTCGTCCGAGCCGTCAGGGCACTGCGGCACGCCGTCGCACAGCTGTCCCGGGGCCACGCAGTGCGGCCCGCGGGCGCAAGGCGCGTGGTGTAGCGCGCACGGCCCGCCGCCGC